AGTGTAGACATCGGTTGTGTCGGATAGGCAAAAGGGTCGTCCGATGGGAACATGATGGGCATTAGATCTGGGAACTGACTGGGATTGGCGAATGCGTGCGCCCCAAATTGATTTGGTGTGACATCGCCCAAGGCGAGCGACATGGATACCGGAGATGCCCCTGTCGACGCGGGCGTCCTGTCGTGGTTGGATGCAATATCCGACGGCGTGGACACGGCATCAGCAGCCATCTCGGGCGTGGACGGGATCCACGTTGAGGGCTGGCTTGGGCGCACATTAGAAGCAGGACTGCGGCTAGCAGCACTGTCATCGAAGCTCTTGGGCGTATTGCTAGCCTCTTGCTTCACCGATCGACCGAGCAGTTGCGTGGGGAAAGTGTTGGCACGCTGTGGTGGTGGCATCTCCAAGGGCACCGAGGCGGCAGCGTTCGCGGCGCTCTTGGCGGGAGGTGGGCGGGTGTGGTGGCCAGACGAGGGGGCGGGCCGCTTCAAGCTCGCCCGCTTCTTCGCACTCTGACGATTCTTGAGCAGCTCCGGAAGGTTCTTGAAAAGACCATTGAGGCTCTGAGAGCACCGATCTGCCGCCATGCTCTTCTTCGCTAATCCTGCCAACGTGTTTTTGCCTTCCATGGCGTCTTTGAGGACGCCATCCTTTGCGGTTGGAGAGTCGGGATTCTCGAGCACGAAGAACAACAGCGACAAAATGGCGAAATAGGTGGTATACATGGTGAACCAGAACGATCCATTGAGTAGCCCTCTCTTATGCATGCCGGTCGTGATATGTACGATGTTGCGTGAGACACTAACACATGCCGCAGCGCAAGCGTAGGATCGCCGGTCCACTCCTCGAGCTTGCGAGCCGCTAGAGACATAGTGAAGGAAGGGCCGGTAGAGTATGACCTGAACGTGGGCGTAACTAATGCGGAGTAGTTGGCGGATGCTGTAGACAGTCAGTAAGGACAAATAGTCAACCCCTGGAGAGGGAAACAACTTACCGCTCGAGCTGTGGGGAGACCTCCGTCCCGGGTCGCAGAGCCGCGGGAAGCTCTTCCATCCAGGCTTGAAGGTCCCTCTCAATCTCCCGGATTTTGGAGTGGCTGACCACATAGCGCTGATCCGATGCGACAGGATGTTGCGCTTTCTTCACAGGGTAGATGTATTGCACAACCTTAAGTGTGATGTTGGTCAGCCGAGTATGCGCAATGGCTCCAGCCATCAAAGGGGTATGATCCGAAGGCACGGGTAGGATGCCAGTCTTGGTGATGAATTCCGAATCGACCGGCTCTGGGTACACTTGATCAATGTCATCGTCGTTCAGCATCAGAGGTAACCCGAGTAAAGTGCTGACATAGACATCCATTCTGCGAATTGTCCAAAAGATGCGTTTGCGCATCTCCTGCTCAAGAGGGGTAAAGTGTATCGTCACATTGCGGTGCAGACCTAATCGCAGAGCGGATCGCTGTGCGATACCAATATAAGAGTAGCATGTGCTAAGTTTGGCGGACGATTGCAGGAATAGAATCATGAAACAGATGGCCTGGAGCGAGGTCAAGTCGCGGCAGTCGGTAATTTCCAGGAGCTGGCGACCTGCTTTGAAGTATTGAAATCTGCAATCGCGAATTAGTTTATTCCTCAAACAGACCGACAAGAGGCGACCTACCCTTGCCCGATAGCACCCTCGTAGCCTGAGATATCCAAGGTACTGGAGCCATCGTCAGAAAAAAGACATCCGACGGCCATTACAATATAGAGTAGCGGCAGGAAGGAATTCTCCTCGTTGGTAAACTGGTCTAGTGGCGTGTCATAGATTCGATCAAACATGGTGTAAAACGTAGGTTCATGCACGAAACGCATTAACGCGCAGGCATCGTCCAAGGCATTGTGACACAGTCGCCGGCCAATTTCCCGGGAGGGAAGATCATGCGTGGGCGGCAGAGACGCATCTTGCGGCGATTCAGATACGGATTTGGGGCTGTCAAAGAGCGTTTGCGCGACCGGTCGCGACCGGAGAGTAGGCAGCGGCATGTCGGAAGCTCCGAGCTGCTTCCGCAGGCGTCGGATAAACGTCATACCAGAACTGTGTCCATGATAATCCCAATGTCCCTGATCATCAAGATCAAGGTAACCTGAATTATCGACCATCGACTCAAGCAGCGATTCATCACCATTAGCCCCATCCGCGGTCGTGTCGTCAGCGGGGGCGGGGACTGAGGGTTGCGATCCGTTCGTCGTGTCAGCAGGTGCAGATGGTGCAGCCGGTTCCTGCTGCGGCTGCTGCGGCTGCTGTTGCTGTTGCTGCGGGAGAGGCGGGGGTTTTTCACGCTTGATGGCGGCCAGCATCTGCTCGGTAGCATGCACGTCGAATTGTGGATCGTCCAGATTTAGATCCGGCAGCACGACGCGCAGCAGGGCCTCGGCTTTGTGCAGTCGATTTTCCAGAGCTTCAACATATTGCGGAGCGGGGTTGCGACGACGGTTGGAAGGTTGGTCGTAAGTGCACTCTGCGGACGACCGAAGCTGATGAGCGACCACAGCCAGGAAAGGGTTGCGGAAGTAAGGTCCGACAGGGAGAATGGAGACTTACCGTAACTGTAGACCGTGCAGTGCGTGCACGGCTGCTTGCCGTCGCACTTGATCTTCTTGCGACGACATTCATCACAGGCCCGCGTTACCCGGCGACGCTTTTGCATAGGCAGCGGTTCCTTGACAGGCTTGAGCCCCTCGTCCCTCATGGGTAAATCATCTTCGTCATGAAGGGCCGAGGCAGCGGGATCGACATCATCATGGGGAGCAAAAAACGAATCGGAGACAGCAGAGGGATCGTCCTCATTCGCAGGGTCGGCGATTAACGGACCGGAAGGGGATGCCATGAGGGAGAGAGAGGCAGATGACGTGGGGTGGGGGGTGGGAGCAGAAGAAGATCGATCTCACGGCGGTCGGCGCAAAGACATGCAAGGGGGTATGAGCAAGTCGGAGATCCGATCGGAAGTGATAACGAGGAAGGAACTGTTCCGATCAGCAAGGGAACGGCGACCCGCGTGGCGAGCCAATTTATGATCGCACGTCCACGAGGGTGTGGAATTGGCGTCTCACAGGGTCATGGAAGGCACCACGAAGTGGGAGGAAGGAGGGACGGAGGGAGGGACCGAGAGCAGAGAGCAGCTCGACGATCGTTCGCCGAGGGAGTGAAAGGAAGATCGACACGTCACTAAAGCGCAGGCACTGGCTTGTTTGCGGTGGAAGATAGGTCGAAAGCCAAGAAAGGAAGGGACAGAGGGAGAGTCTGTGTACGTATGGTATGTAGGAAGAGAAAGAGTATGAGTAGGTAAGAGTCGAAGAGACGAGGAGTCTTGGTTTGTGTTTCTCTCTGGCTGAGTGTCAGAGTGTCCGAGTGTCTGTCTGGTCTGGGGCACCAGCGGAAGAAAGCATTTATTAGTAAGACTTGCGCTGAGTCAAATAAAAAAATCCACAAATTGCCCAGACCATGCATCATGCATCGGACCTCCGATCCCATGACAGTCGTATTTTCCTTTGCCCCATCTACCGCCTCTTCTTCCTTTGCTCTCTACCTGGATCATAGATGAAGAGGGCAGATGAGGAAGAAAAGTGGTTGGGGTAGTGATAGTGTACTGTACTGTATAGTACTGTATAGATCGATTGACCCGTCGGGGAATTGGACGCTATATCCGAGAGAGGGAAAGGTAGAACAGCAAAAGAATCAAGCATTCGGGAAATACGAGCTTGAAGGGAGGGGGCCATTTACATTGGTCTCTCGGAGGGAAACAAGATGTTCCTAAAGACAACTCTCTTTTTTTTTTTTTTTTTTTTGGCACAGTCGAGAGATCCTTGTCGAGGTGGAGATGTAGCAGCCTCTACTAGCGACCGAATGCGACGGGGGGACCCTTTGCGCACACAGAGGAAGGAATTGGGATGGAAAGGGAGCAGGATCGCGAGGAACTGGGAAGCAGAGGGAGAGAAAAGGGGACTAGATGAGCCAATGGAGACAGAGCAGATTTCCAAACTACGCACATGCAACCAGAAAACGACGGTGGAAAAGGAAGGTGAGAGCCCTGAGTTGAAGGTGAGGGAAGAAAAATGGCTCATAGGTAGGGCTGGCTTCGGCGAACTGGCCGGCATTTGTCGATGTGCAGGTATATCAGCATAAGACAATCGGCGAGCATTAGTTTCTTATGCTGATTCTACTCGTTTTCTGTTCCCTGTCAGCATATGAATTCTCTTAGTCACTTTCATTTATTTAATTAATGTCGTCATATAGAAGGTGCTTACTTTACAGAGTTCGAATATTCCCACAGATCAGGGCACGGTTAGTTAATCCTTCATCCTCGGCGTCTTCTGGCCGATATGACTATGGCTGCTCTGCTATGATTACTATCAGTCAGCCTCGGTCGCGCCCTTCAAAAAGCCGAAGGGCGAGTGAGGGTGAAAAGTCCGCATGTATGCCTCAGGCCATTAATTCATTTTCCACGTCTTTTCCATTGTCCTTCCACAATCATTTTATTGATTTTTTGTATTATTATTTTCTAGCCAGGGAATGACCTAAAGACTCCTGCGTCATTTGTCTCTCTCTCCCACCCTTCTTCTGAGTTACAAGTATCTGTCTAATTGCTTACTGATCTGGACTTCGCCTGCGTTCTAGTACAGTACTCTATTGTTCCATTGTTCTATTGTCGTCTGTCTACTACTGTCAAATCCATTATTCAACCTCAGCTCAGCGCAGCTCAGCGCAGCACTTGCTTGCAACCCTCTCCCTCAAAGCCTTGAACAACAACATCTATATCATGTCATGACAATGTCGTTCACTGATCCATGGATCTAACATTTATATAACCATTAGAACATCAGAAACAGAACAGAGTCCGGCAATCGGGATTCTCCTTCACGTGGCAGCTCGTATTCGCCTCGCAATCCTGCTCCGCCCGAGCTTCTTCCAGAACCACAACCCACTTTCCCAAAAGGAAACCCCCCCCTCCCAATTGAACCATGTTCTCCTCTTCCTACTTGTTGGTCACCGCGTGTTGTATGTTCGCAACATTGGGATCCTTCCTTTTCGGATATGATTCCGGGGTGATCTCCACTGTCATCGACCAGGAGACGTTCAAACACCGATTTCATAGTCCTTCGGATGCCGCCACGGGCGGGATCGTCGCCTCGTATAACGGTGTGTGCATCTGGTTCCCTGCAATCTGCTAACTTGGCCCACCCGCTCAACCTATTCAGTTATTATTATTGGACTGCCAGACTGACAACCCTGTGACAGGCGGCGCTATCATAGGTTCCTTGGTTGTCTCATACCTCTCTGACCCGTGGGGTAGGAGACCCGTGCTGCTCGTTGGCGGTCTTCTGGCGACCCTGGGGGCTGCTTTGCAGGCGGGCGCGGTCAATGTGGCCATGCTCATTGCTGGCCGCTTGATTGCCGGCCTGTCGGTGGGACTGATGTCATCCATCATCCCCGTCTACTGTGTAAGTCCTCTTACACAACTCCAGCCCTTGTTCCTCATCATCCGCATCCCCTCATCCTCAAACCAGTCTAACAATCAATTGAAATAGAGTGAGGTATCCCCCCCGCGAATCCGAAGCTTTTTAGGATCCCTCCAACAATGGATGATTGGATTAGGGGCAGTCGTCGCAGTAGGTTGCTCGAATCACCGAAAATATATACTTTCTAAACCTTCTCCATCAGCAATGGGTCGGATACGGCTGCTCTCTCCGCACAGGGAACTTCACCTGGAGCTTTCCGCTCGCCCTGCAAGCTCTGCCTGCGATCGTCCTCAGCGGAGGAATTTGGTTCCTCCCCGAATCCCCCCGCTGGCTCATCGAACAGGGTCGCACTGATGAAGGCCGCACCACGCTCACCCGCCTCCACGCGGCCAACACCTCCCTCGTCGAGACCGAATACGCGCAAATCCGGGCCAGCATCGCCGAGGAGCGACGCCGCGCCCCGCGCACCTGGCGTGCTCTCCTCTTCACCTCGGCGACCTGGCGCCATCGCATCCTCCTCGCCTGCGGCATGCAAGCCTTCACGCAGTGCTCGGGCACCAACATCATCTCGACCTACAACCCAGGCCTCTACCGCTCGCTCGGCCTGTCCGAGACCACCTCGCTCATGATCCAGGGCATCTGGGGCGCGCTCGCCCAGTTCTGGAACACCGTCTTCATCATCCTCTTCATCGACCGGGTGCCCCGTCGCACCCTCCTTCTCCCCTCCCTCGTGGGCATGGGCGCCACCATGTGCATCGAAGCTGCCCTCGGCCAAGCCTACCGCAACTTCACCACCGACCCGCCGGCGCCCGCGACCGCCGTCCGCGCCGCCATCGCCCTTTTCTTCGTCTTCTCCGTCTTCTTCACCGGCCTGGGCCTCATCTCCTGGCTCTACCAGTCCGAGATCTTCCCCACGGCCATCCGTGCCCGAGGAGCGTCGATCGCCACCGCCACAAATTGGAGTTTGAACCTAATCTTCGCCCAGTGCACCCCGATCGCGCGATCACGCATGGGCTTCAATTACTTCTACTGCTTCGCCGCGTTCAACTGGGCCGCCGCCCTGCTGGTTTGGTTCGCCTACCCCGAGACCGCCGGCCGGTCGCTAGAGCAGGCCGAGCATGTTTTCGATCGCAGAGAGTCGAGAGATGAAATGGATCATCATCAGGGGCTGGAGCTCCAGCAGGACAAGAAAGGGGGGCTAGCCATGGTTTCTTCAGCGGAGGCGAGTGCAAATCCCCTACACCACAGGTGAACCCAAACATCCCAATGGACTTGCAAACTGCAAGCATCTTAATATATAATATATATAGATAATTTCCTGTTGTATATCATAGCTGGCTGCATTCTGCATTGGGGTTCTGCTGTGGGTTTCACAATTAGCGTTGCATGATGGCGAAATCGAGTCAGTTGAAGTCATCGATCAAGATGTATAATAATCATATCATAGAGAGATGCTCCAATTGATTTTCAATTACAGTATCGGAAGAATGAAAGCAAAAAATGAATCTATGGCTTCAGAGTTCGTTGGTACAAGCTGGGGTATAACATGCAGTAAACAAAAGGGGTGATCTGACGGAAAAGCATATATATATATGAGAGGTTGCACCCAAGAATGTATAGTGCTGTTGCAGACGGATAAGAGGGAGAGAAAATCTTGTCTATATCATCAAGGATGAGTCACAAGAAAGGGGGAAGGTGCAGGAAGGACTCCGAGTCTAGGTAGGGTGTTGCAGGAATATGAATTCTGATAAACAAAAATGAATGTATAATCGTGGGGCTGGCATCATAGCTCTTCCAAAGAGGACATGATATACTTGGTGAGCGGCGCGTGGAGGATCTCCTGTCGAAGGCTATCTTCCCACAGAGCAACATTTGGCGTGCCTGGTTGCATAGTAAGGCAAGAGAAGAGAATATAGTTGACGTGCATCCAAGACTCATAACTGAGGCGCTTGGCGACCTTGAGCATCCGACCAGCGAACCATGGCCGATGGTATGGGGTGTTTGCAGTCTGGGAGTATTGCGTGAAATCCGGTCCTTGGCTGCAACTGTCGCTGGTCGTGTTGACAGATCCGTCATTGCATTCGAGCAAGATCTGTAGTAGTGCTTCAACGGAACCGCTCATATTCACCTCGCTGTCCACTACCGCCTGCTGCAGCGTCTGGAGGAACGTCTCGCTGTGCGGCGCGGAATGTCGGTAGTCCCAGAGGGCCGCGTTGAGCATGAGCAGGGCAACCAGCCGCGCAACGAACTGTTTGCGGTTGCCAGATGCAGTGAAGCGCGCCCCTGGAGGCGCCGCGAGAATTTGGTGCAGAAGTGACCCCTCTCGGAAGGCAGTGTGGCGCATTTGGAGCAAATTGACGTCAGTGGTACTCGCTTGATAGACCGAAAGCTGTTGACACCGTTTGAGAAAGGTTATGAATTCACCGCATTGATATTGAATCTCTTCGTATGGAAGTAATGGTCGAGGCCAGGAGAGGCTTAGCTCGACTGGAACCGGGTATGAAGCCAACATAGGCTGCGTTATTGTAGCCGATTGCTGCTCAGAGGCACGTCTCTCATTTGGCTGTATCATCGGTGGTGCAGCATCAAAGAAGAAACTCGGTCCGTCGGTCTCATAGCCCGAGAGGATGTAATCTTGCCAATTTATCAGCATTCCGAGTCGTGTATTAAGAAATGCAGCGGGACCACCGCGGGCCCGGATCATCTCTCTTGCAGCGCGCATATGAAGCCAGCTAATCTGCTTGCGTCCAGGGCGGGGATCGAAATCTTCAAGTCCGGCAGCGCTAAGACAAGCTATGATTATTTCATCGGAGAAGTCATGAGGATGTCTCTCCCGGTGTTCGCGAAGCATGGAAATGGCCCGGTCGCGATGAATCAGACCTCGTTCGTCCACCTCTTGATTACGAACCCAGGTCCACGTATTAGCTGCATGGACAAGGATGGTATTCTGAAACGCCACCGGCCCTTTCATTCCTTCAGGAACGAAGACTGCTGTGTACCAATTGTGCGCTTTAGAGGATCGAAAATGATTCCCGTAAGAGCAAGCGGGCATTTCGTTGACATAGAAATCGAACAACCGCTGGCCGTCAAGGTCCAACTCCAGTGGTAAGGTGTTGAAAGGATCAGTACGTGCGGCGCTGAGTACTGTTTTCGGAGACAGCGCCACTTCATATGGGGATGTCGGGACGGAGGACCGTGGCGTCAAGCTTCCCAGCTCTGAGCTACTGCTTTGCGACGTCGCCGAGTACCATATACGGGAATCCGATGAGGAGCTGCTGTAGCTGGACATATGACTGTCCCGGATCGGTAATGAAACGGATGATTCGGACTTGGGATAAGCGCCGACTTCTGCACTAAAGCTTTCCACGACCTCGGCGATGTTATGTTCACTGATTGGATAAGTCGAGGATTTTTCGGATCCATGTTGGTGCACGATGTTGGCCGCAGTATCTTCAGCATTTTCGTCAATCTCTACCTTGGGTCTTGTGTCGGCGGGGTCATCGCGATGGCTGCTATCCTTGGCTTTCCGAAGTGACCTGGAAGGTTTGCGGCCGCCTTCCCCCATGGTCTCATCAACGTCAATGTCAGACTGGCCTGCAGCCTGTCGCTTTTGTCGCATATATTCTTGCATGACGTGACGTTTGACTTGAGTTAGGTTGTTTCGGCTGTTACCCGAGGCGTTGATGAACTGCCACCGTACTTGGGAAGAGCCTGCCGTGGGCTCGATTGTGCTTGATTTGTCAGGTTCAGGAGACATGATTCCGAGCCGGGGATTCCAGACAGAGAAGAGATAACGTGTTGCAAGGTGGTTGGGATACCGCAATGCGGTTGTTGTGAGCAATGACTCGATTTGGCGTTTTTGCCGTCGTGGCTTTCGTAAAGTATGCTTGTTGAGCGACGAGAAAAGTCGGGACTAGCGCGATGAATTGATCATGTCATGAAAACCGCGGTAGTACGCTAGCCCAAGAAGTTCAACGATACGAGCGCGGAGGTCGCAATGAGATGAGAGGGCTTGTCGGCCGGACCACTGCGACACCGGAGAAGAGGGTATTCACGGTTTCCGACAATCCACATCGATTTCAGCTGATTTATACTGGTACAGGAAGGCCATTCAATAGCCAGACATGGGATCAGCGGCGTGACAACCAAGAGAGTCTAAGATATTGGCGGATAATGCATTCAGACTGATGATGTTCGGAGGAGGCTTTGCAGTCACAATCGCATGCGTTCAGGGTGTAAGTGCGGATCGAGGAGATCGAGCTGTTAATGGGGCCAAATCGACGACTGAAAGCTAAAATCCAAAAATAAATTTGCAGGATCGCCTCGGCAAGGAACGGAAGGCTGGCAGCCTGGCAGGAAAAGAGGGGACCTCAATATGAAAGGGCCAGCTGGATTTGGGTGGCACCACCAGAATATATGAAGTGTGGCCTGAGAAGGGTGGAAAAGGAGGAATGAGCAGGTAGTGAAGACTCCGTGAGGGAGAGGGAGAAGTGCACCGGATTATCTGATAAAATCGAGATCAACCTTGTGCTGACTGCAGATCCACTGGGGAATGATCATTGAACCATATAATCTGCCCAGAAGAAAAACTTTGGGGCCGTTTCAACAATTTCGGAATAATCCCCACTGGTCCGTTCGGTTCAACGTCAGGCAGAAACGAATGAACGGACTGTCACCGAGGGTGGTTTATGGACCGAACGACAGTCTAAAGACGACAATTCTTCAGCATGATAAGCAAAAGGAACCGTAAGCATCAGCAGGTGCAGATATGGGACCAGGCTAGCTGATTGCCTAGCTGATTACGGTAAAGTAATCTCGACCCTGAAATTGTTAGTGGGAAGGGCAACATCGTTGATACGAAGAACAAAGTAGACTCCGTGTTGTCAGGCTGAATTAGAAATAAGCTTAAGGGGTTGCAGAGCCATTGCTGCCAGAAGGATTGCCGCTTGGCTGAGGGGTACGAACGAATGTTTTAGATAGAGATGCACGCGTGGAGGTTGCGAAGGAACACTGAAGAACTGAACTTCGTGTAGGTTGTCGAACTAGACAAGGCCAGCCACAAAACATGGTCAACGGGAGGCTCGAGACCTCAGGCCTTAGAGTTAAACTTTATAGGCCTGAGGCTGACAATAGTTAATGCCTGAGGCTTCAAGCTCACGGCGTTAATACTCACCGCCTTGGGATTAAGTCCGAGGCAAAGGGCGTCCAGGCTGTTAAAACTGATCCCATAATTTGTTCCGCGTCGCCGACCGCGCTGCCGCAGAGCTCTGAACCTCCCCTCGTGTGCTACACTCAAAGACATTCATGGTCCAGACTAACGGCGCCTGAGAAATTGCGAAATACGTTTTTAGAGTTTTACTCGTGGTTTTATGTATCTTTGGGGCTTGCAGACCGCGTCGTGACCCTACCACCTTTTCGCATCTTTCGCCGAACGCCGCCGCCATCCCCGTCCTCCACAACCTGACAAAGAAGTGACAGGCTACGCAGCGCATTCTACCGCCCCTGATATATCGCGTCGCATCCTCTCTCAAACCTTGCAATAGCTTGTGAGGATCGGAGACAACATCATGGTCAGGTGTTTGACAAGAACGGTTTTCATTTTTTAATACGTCCGGTGTTCTGGAACTCTTCCTTTCCCCCCCTCCCTGGGTAGAACCCTGGCTCATCTCTGAGACGCCGTGGTTGGCTTTCTTCGAGCTTTGCTGAGGGAACATAGACGGAGTAACAGTGGTTAGGTGCTTCGGGAACAGCCCAAGCCCCTGGCAGGTGCTCTGGGGATGGCTGGAGACCAACAACCGCCTGCCGTCTCAAGCCAGGCGAACGGCTCGGTAGACGAGAAGCGACCAACAAACCCCTACGAAACCAACCCCGAGCTCATTCCCGACGATGACCATTTCCTTGCGCGAAGTGTGCATTACGGGCGCTATGCGTCGTCGGACAATGACTTCAAGCCGCGCCATGAGTATTGGTGCCAGTCGGATCCAGAAGTTAAGTCCTACTGGGAAGACATTGTGAAGGATTTTTGCAAGCCAGAAAATTCACTGAATGTTCCGGGCGCGAGAGAGGCTTTCGCTGCTGGCAGCGTCATCATCAGAGTCGACCGTGAGCCTGAAGCCGATGCCGCAGCGGAGACGTATTCGTGCATCAATGCGAATGAGCTCAGTGCGGCAAGGAAAGCCGAGGATGCCCTCCGAGATCTCGACATTAATGTTCCGGTGATATATTTCTGTGGTACCATCGAGAATAAGAATGTGACCGTGGAGTCAAGACTCTCCGGTGTCTCATTGGATGTTGCTTGGAAGTATCTCAGTGCTGATCAAATCGAAAACTTCAAGCATCAGTGTCGCCGCATATCCCAGCGCTTAGGAGATGTCGACGCCGCTCCCGACCGACCCTCATATGTCTGCAGCGGCCTGAATCTGCAAATTCCGCCCGACGTCCAGCAAATCGAGAAGGATGTTCTTTTCCGCGAGAGGAAGAAAGGCGAACGACTTGCCCTAGTACATAACAACCTCATTCCGGCCAATATAATTGTGAATAATGGTCAGGTAGTCGGGATCACTGGATGGCGACAAAGCGGGTACTTTGGATTTGAGCGGGCGGACGAACTACATCGCCGCCTTAGGATTCCTGAGATTGCGTCTGCCGGCGAAATTGAGGGTTTAGTGAATGTACCCGAGGTATGGGCCGATATCTATGAAGGTCTGCCCAGCGTTGTCGGCGAGTCGGCATCTGCGACGAAGCACAATACACCCGTACCGCAGGTGAAGACCGAACCGTCGAATGTGGAGTTGAATGGAGTTCCTCTTGACCATGAGCCCGACCACAAATCAGGGCTTCCTCAGCTCGATGGTACAGCATTGCCCGATGAACATCCAACTCCAAAAAAGATTGCCAGCCTCAAGCATCGAGAAACTTCTCGGGCGTCCTCATCCGATCGATCTTCGCCGACAGTATCCACCAAACCTAGTGCCGCGACCAAGAAGTCCGGTATCGGCCTCACTAAGAAAGGCACAGCTAGGAAACCCGCGGCCAAGAAAAGGAAGTTGACTGAGATTGACAATGAGAGTGTTGCAAGCAGGCGATCGAACACCCCTTCATCACGTACGAGCAAAGCAGCTGGAAGGACCAAACGTGGTTCCGCATCCGTCGCGAGCTCACCGGCGCCCGAAGCCAAAAAGAAGAACGCCAAGAGTAATCTTGTGGCGGAGGTGGAAGAGGAGGAAGAGGAGGATGACTCCGAAGACAATGATGAAGTGTTCTGCATCTGTCGTAAGCCGGACAATCACACGTGGATGATTGGGTGCGACGGTGGCTGTGAGGATTGGTTTCATGGGAGATGCGTCAACATTGATCCACGAGACGCTGACCTGATTGACAAGTATATATGTGAGTTGGCCTCCCAAATCAACCTTCTTTCTTTCCGACTATCATCATGTCTCGATAATGATTTTATCACGGATATTGGACTGACAAGAAATAGGTCCGAACTGTAAGGAGCAGGGCAAGGGATGGACAACCTGGAAGCCGATGTGTCGGCTGAAGGAGTGCAGAAAACCTGCCCGTGTCAATCAAGACATTCCCAGTAAATACTGCTCAGATGAGCATGGTCGAGAGTTTATGCTTCAAAGGACTAGGCTCCTACTTGTGAGTGCCGGGCCTGGCGCTCGGAAGTCAGCCGCTCGGGCAGCTCTAGGTGGACTGGGATCCTCAACAAACAGCCCATTTCCCGACAGCGCGTCCTCTCGAGAAGGAAGTGACCCAGAGACAGGCAGCGGATATGATAATGTCGAGAAAAATAATTATCCAGAAGACCTCGGAAGCAGAGGTGGTGTTCTCACTACCGGAGACCTCAAGGCAGTGGTCATGGGCGTCAGCTCAGCAGATGAGTTTCGCAAGCTGGGAGAGAGCATCATCTCAGTCCCTGCACCGGCGAAGGGTCCCGCTACAGGGTCCAAAGAGGACAACAAGAAATTGGGCCTTGACTTCGATGTTGATTGGCTCACCTATGCACCCGACGAGGCCGCAATGCTCGACAAGCTGCGCAAACAGCGCGATGGCCTCGTCCACCGCCGAGAGATGCTCAAGGCTCGAAGCCACTTTGTGACTCTGGTGCGGCAGCGTTCCAAATGTATTTTAGACAAGCTGAAGCAGAAGGAACCCAAGGGCGGATGGAAGGACATCTGTGGCTTCGACTACCGACTGGCCTGGTCAGACGAGGAGTTCGACGAGTGGCGGCTTTCCGAGCTGGGAGCCAAAGCACTCAAGGATGGCACGCCCGAGGCACTGGCGTCAAGCTACTCCGATGCCACCGACGCAGATGGCGATACTGCCATGGGGGATGCGAAACCCGCCGGGGATGATTTGGAACATCTATCCCATGGTGTTTGCATCAAGAAACGCTGCGAGCGGCACAAGCAGTGGGTAAAGGTGCAACAGCAAGATGGCCTTTTCGAAGAGAGTAGCCTGGCCCAGGACCTTAAAAAATGCGAGAAGGAGGCTCAGAACGTGGTGGAAAGAGCTGTTCTCAGGCTATGGGCGGAGGAAGACAACGCTCAAATCAGTAACCATTGAGGAAGTGCATTCCTCACGATTTAATCGCCACTGTTTGCTTCGCGCAACTCCGTTACCTTTTAATTTTTCTCTTCTTCCCGAAACTTTGTGTTAAACCATGACATTTCGTCTTCACCTTTCCCCCTCCCCCAACAAAAGGTCGCCTTTTTGACGGCGTGCTTGATTGATACCCCCCCATCTTTCTTTACCGGAAAAGAAAAAAGCAGGAAATCGAACCGGAGTTGGTTCTTCATGGCTGTTTTATCCTTCTTCTTTTGGGTCTGTGGAAACATACCACTGAAAACATGTTGCATGCATAATAGAGGAATATGGGGTTCTAGGAGTGTACGTGTGTGCTTGCTTAACATCTGCTATCAGTTTTGACACCATTCCCCCCGTATGAATGATGATAGACCATTTGCATCTTGTTGTTCCGTATTCTTCCAGTAAAACCTTGCTTGCCATCGTTGCTTCCGACATTATCGTAGCATGAATTGACAAAGGCACCGAGTAGTGTTCAAATGCTCTTCCAAACACACCACTTCCCGATCCCCTCCCCCAACCGGTCCTTGATAACCTCGACTACCACCCCCGACCCCTTATTAGTCGACACTAGGATATGCGTATCAAGTCCCTGGTCCAACGTCCGCATCAACAAGCTCGGAAATAGGCTCGCCCCATTTGCGCTAAATGCAGACCGAACCCCACTTTCCCGACTGCTGGGCTCATCCTGCATTGCGATCGACCTACTCGCATAGTCAGCATTGGCGGCCGCTGTTCCCAGTCCACTCGTATTGACCAGCAGCACCGACACCGCTGCAGGACTAGTGCGGGTCAAGTGGGTTAATGTCCGTAGGGCGGTCGTCAGGGCGGCCGCGCCTCGCGCGGCGTTGGATGTGCGCACGACGCCCTCGGCGAGGGTGTCGAGGCCGGCGACGAGTACGATGGCTTGGTCGGGCTGCAGGGACTTGCGGCCTGCGGCGGATGATGCTACAGCTGAGCTGATTTCGTGGATGGCTTGTAAAGCGGCATGGAGGTCGAAGATGGGGAAGAGTTGAACGCGGTCGAGGCAGGCGATCGCGGCGTCGCGCGTTAAGACTTGTCGGTTGGTGGTGGTGGTGGTGGTGGTGGTGGTGAGCAGGGAGGCGAGGAGTCTTCTGGGGGAGAAGGCGTTGAATGTGGCTGGGTGGACGATATAGACGGTCGTTGAGTTGGGTGCGTTGAGGATTTGGGCTTGGCGAACTAAATGGGCTGTGAGGAGGGCTCGAGGAAGCTGTGAAACAGTTTAGACTGCGGTTTAGAGCATTGTGAACGTGAACGTGAACGTGAAGAACTGTAGATGAACACTCGATAGGGGCTTTCAGGAATCGAGGCCTGACCTGGCAGGGTTGTGATGCTCTTGCATGAAGATGGAGTGTACGGACTGATGGCTTCTGGCAGCTGACATGCTCTTACCTGGCTTAAATATTCATCATCTTCTGTATTTTCGTTGTTCTTGCTTCGGAGCCGCGAGAAACCGATCACAGAGCCAGCGCGGAATACCCTCTCCGGAGATGCTTGCAATCCAGCATCGATATCTGCGTAGAGATTCCAGGACTCTGTCTGGTGTGGTGGATGACTTGAGTCTATGTCGTCCACGGACAGCTGACTACTACCGCTGCTTGCTTCATCAGATAACAGCAACTTGTTGGCCAGAGTGGGAAGCGCAAGTCCAGCAGCATGTGAGTTGCTGATGGAATCCATGGTTGTCCGAGTGAACAATATTGCCGGTGGTCCTAGCGCGTATACTTCTAGTATAGTTATGGGGACGAGAGTGGCAGTGCTACGTAGCAAGTCAGCTGGTGCGGAGTTTATAGTGTTGTAGAGCGTACATATTGAGAATATAATAAGCGAGCAATTGATTCAATAACTAGATTGCCGAAGGCAAATCATGCAATGTAAAATGAGTCGGTATTAGTGTATGACAGTGGAATCGAAGAATGGGTCCAGATTAGATTGCGGCCCGTCTTGAAGCCTGGTATGTAAGGCATCAAATTCTGCTCAGAAGCATGCTCCAGTATTTTAGACACTCTTGAACAGCGTGGAAGACAAGACAATGCCGAATTAGAAGATCGGCATGAGGTCTACTCTGAAAAAATGATGGGAGATGCAAGGATGTAGGGGCGCGGCAAAAACAGACAGGCTCGGACCAAAAAGTACACCAAGGGTATGAAAGGGTGATGAATTGTGAATGTCAAATCAAATAGTACAGGGTTAAGCTGAGGGTTTATCTATTAAGGTGCCAGAAATGACGAAAGGCTTTACTTCGCAAATGAAACTTCGCAGATGGTTCAATTGCAATTTTGCGTTGTGGGAAAGTCGATAATTAGGCTATCATGCACCAGTGTTCGGAGACTGGTTCTTGATTCCTCCATTCGACGCTGTTTTGGTCCATTCCCCAAGGCCATTCGTCTCCCATTCGGTATCTTTGAACTTTGCGCCTAACGATTGGCTGAGTTCAACACGAAGTGCCTCGTTTGAGTAGTCAAGGGTGCGGAAATGAACAAGCGAAGCGCTACGTCCCAGCTCAATGATGGAATGAGCGATGATATCGTACCCCGTAGCCAGCTCCATCCATGGATCGTTGGGATCGATGGGACCTCTATTTGCCAGGTCAATGGCCGAGTCTTCTGAGCATGGGGCCAGTTGTACGGTGAATGATTGCAAGTTAATCATCAACTCCAGGGCATCCAAGACCAATTTCACATGATTATAGAAGGGGAATATAGCGGTGTAGCTGAATGAAGTCAGATGCCGGAGCCCGCGCGATATGGACAGTTTCTCCTCATCGCTGCCCATGGAGGCTATTGTACCCCATTTACCAAGCACTGACGGAACCTCGAACAAGAAGTACTCATAATGTGCGTACGCTCTGAGCGAGGAGCCCTCATTGAATCTGAGAGATGAATAGGCCATGATATCCAACGGGTTGGATGACGGGTTAGTCGTGAAGACCCGGGATTCAGGCAGGGTACTTCGCTCCCACTGACACAACTGGTGAGTAATTTGAAATGCCCAATTATGCTCCTCCGGAGCCTTGGTGCTCAACATGGCCCCAATCCGCGAAGGTGGTGCAAGAACAGTGATCCGCAATGGGTTGAGGTTGGACAGATGTCGGAGCAACCGGTTAATGTTCAAGTCGCGGGGTGGATCATTCCCGAGTAGCACGACAAGCGAGGTAATATGGCGTTCTAGTCTGTGCGATGTGACGAAATTGAGAAAGTCATAGAGATCATCGAGATAGAATCGGGAATGCGCGTAGAGTCTTGATCGCACGAGCTCGAGCAGCCGTGAAGATACTTGTGCGGCATTCTTCAAGTTTTGCGTACTGGAAGCTGTGAAATGTATTGCTGGTGTATGATGAAAGTTGTATTCGGAGGGAGTAGCCACTGGAAGATAGCTCACAATCTCATCCAGGATTTCGTTCGGCAAGTTTTCGAGACATGACAGCTGCGAAGTCATCGTTCGATTGCTCAAAGAACTTGACAATCCCTGATTAGGTTTCACATCTCAGGAACACACTGTGAATACCATGCTCCGACCGGTTCGAGTGCTATGATTCGGTAATTCTGTGGTATAGACACTGATGGTCGTGACAATGAATCAACAGCACAAGATAAGGATCTTGGTTTAAGTTCCCATGTAGTATATCTTGATACAGCAGGCGGTGAGTAAGAGATAGCTGGTCGGGAGTTCGAGATGTTGTCAAGTGCCGCGGGTCCCCACAGCTTCCAAGCACATGATTCCATGCAATTAGGAGAGTTCTGATAGGGTATTATGCTTCCATCCAGTTAGGATAGACGGTAAAAAGTTGACCCCAGCGCTTGGGAGGCAGAGCTTTGATGTATATATGATATCCCTCCGCATCATTATGATATTCTAGTAGGTTGTGCAACTGCAAGAGAAGTTGTTAGATAAGGTGGATTGACGTCTGAGTGCTGACAGGCGAAATTATTCTGGACGCTCGGCAAAAGCGGCCTTACCTGAAACAGACCAAGTGTGGAGAAGGTCGAGGGACTAGCGTCTCCCCCCGCACCAGCAGAACAAAAGTGCAGACACTGACATTCATCCCTCTGCTTTTCGTTTGCAATGCGACCAATGCAACCAATTCATTTCCTGCAGTGTCAAACGCTAACATGAGAGCCTAATGCATGCTCACTGACTGGGTGTAGCCGGAATGCTCAAGACTGATACAATAACCTGTGCGATTGTCTGAAAAATACTGCCTCGCTGAGTCAGGCCTTACAGCATCAATGCTTTGCCCCACACCGGTCGATCAAAGCTTCCGCTACCCTTTTTGCGATTATGATTCATGGATCCCCTCCTTGAGGTCTTTACCTGGCTATGGACAAGTTTATTATGCTTTCCATGGAGATAAACGAAAGGCATCCCTGGGTATAAGAGCTTTCTGCTTCTGCGGGACTTAAGAGTATGAAGATCGGCCGTCAAAGTTACGATTCCATGCCGAAGGCCGAATAAAGTAGCCGACAATGAGTGATCGATAGGAACCGGGAAACTCGAAACTCGGATGTAAGAGTAGATTTGGAACAGGCCTGTGGGGCACAAGCTGACCAGATGGTTCCTCCTGCTCCGGACTTCGGATCTCGCAGTCTTGCCTCAAAAAGTGCTGCGTGCCCCTCCCCTCCTCTTCATCCCCCTTTCCTGCCGCTCTGACCGTTGTTTTCCTCTTTCTGCTCCACCAATTTCCTGTCCTTAGTGAGTACCATCTTGTCTGGGACAGTAGCGAGAGATTTCAGCTAACGTCTCTTAGCTATTGCATTTTGCCTGTGCATCACAATGGCCCCTCAACTGCACCGCAACCCCCCTTTCCGTGCTGAGCACCTGGGCTCTCTGCTTCGGACCGATGATCTTCTAAAGACCAAGATTGCTTTCGAGAAGGGCGAGGTCTCCAAGGCTGAGTTGGATGTCATTGAGAACAAGGATATCAAGGAGGTTGTTGACACACAGAAGAAGCTCGGCTATGCCGCCATTTCTGATGGAGAGTATCGCAGACACAGTAAGTTACTCTCCGTGCTGTATGAGCCTTTGTTATCATATAAGGCTATGGGCCCTAACCAGACCTTCAAATTAGTGTTCTGGGGTACTTTCTTCCCTGGCTTGGACGGATTCGACGAGGTGACCGATTTTGACGCCGACATCTTCCGCCCGTATGCGCCTGATGTCGCTGCCTTCCTCGAGGCCGGCCACAAGCCTGGTGAGACCGTCCTGTGCACCGGCAAGATCAAGCACGTTGGCAGCACGTATGTCGATGAGTTCAAGTACCTGGCCAGCGTGGTTCCCGCCGATGAAGTCAAGAACCTGAAGATCACTCTTGCCGCTCCTAACTGGTATCACTTGCGTTACAAGGAGGGCAAGGCCTACCCCAAGGATGTCTACAGCTCCGACGAGGAGTACTTCGGCGACATCGCCAAGGCCGTCCAGGCTGAGCTGCAGATCCTCTATGACGCTGGCTGCAGGAACGTTCAGTTCGATGACCCCAACCTTGCTTGTAAGGCTTACCAACCACCCACAAACAAACACGCGAAATGCATAGATGGCTGACTGTGATCATCAGACTTCTGCTCCGAGAAGATGCTTGCCGGGTGGAAGGAAGATCTCCTGAACGTACGCTCCGCCGATGAGACCTTCGAGCAGTACATCAAGCTGTACAACGACTGCGTCGCCAAGCGTCCCGCTGACATGCACATCGGTGTTCACCTTTGCCGTGGTAACTTCGTCGGCAGCCGTCACTTCTCCGAGGGTGGCTATGACCGCATCGCCACTAAGCTCTTCAAGGAGCTCAACGTTGATACCTACTACCTCGAGTACGACACCCCCCGCGCCGGTGGCTTCGAGCCCTTGAAGGAGCTCCCCACCCACAAGAACGTTATCCTTGGTGTGGTGACCAGCAAGTTCGCCCAGCTTGAAGACAAGGAGGAGATGAAGAAGCGCGTGTACGATGCCGCCAATTTCATCGCCGAGGGCAACAACATCTCCTTGGAGCAGGCGCTCAACCAGGTCGGCGTCAGCCCTCAGTGCGGCTTCGCCAGCCACAGAGAGGGCAACGCCATCGACCGTGACGGCATGATCGCCAAACTCAAGCTTGTCCGTGAGATCGCCGACGACATCTGGCCCGGTCAGCTGTAAATCAAATGGCCAAAACTTTCGGTAAAGCTACTGCCACAAAGGAGGTCTGCCCCTTCCAAGGCCAGACTCCAACTCTCCTGTCGATTTCAACAATGAACGTGGAGTGATGAGACGAACGTGACGACAACTTTTGTGTGTTTAGGATACCACTTATTTAACATATGGTTTTAAAAATGTACAGTGTTAGTGCAAATATGATTGAGCTATTAATTTTTCGAAAAATCATCCCTATTGTAATATCAGAAACACATTGTCTTTAAGTATGCGGGCGGGTGCTTGAGTACCTTGGAGATGCCCCAATGTGGAAAGATGCAAGGTTCGCTAACCTAGTCGCTGACAAGCCCACCTGGCAATGTAGATCGCGCTTCGCCAACCGACAATATCATTCGTACCTAAACCCAAGTTCAGCTGGAGATTTTTTCTAGTTTCGCTTGTTCCGATAGAACCTACAGCCCATAATTTCCATAGCCTTGCAGTATGGGCTGATCCTCGCCAGGACCATTCCCTGCTACAGTAAGTGGGGAAAGGAGTCTAGATCGCTGTCTGATACGAAGACAAGTCACATGCTTTGTTTGTGAGTGGCTTGATCTCCAATAACTTACCATCAGCAGTACCCTAGTATAGCACGTCAAATGTACGTCAGACACGCCAATTCGAACATAGATCTCTCTTTTTCCTAGTATCTAGCAGCTATGAAACGGCAGAAAGCAGCTCAAGAACAAAGACATCATTAAAACACGATATATGTGTGGAATGCATGTATGTGCTGGTCCCAAAGTTTTTTCCCTTCTATTTTGAAAATGTTTCTACACATTGCCGGAGACACGGGGGATGACGGAGATAATAGTGTGAAGAAAGTCAAAGCCAAGACGAGAAAGAAAATGGTAGGAGTATTATTAAAGGGGGAGGGTATTGAAATGGCCCGCATCGGAACAGTGAGGGATATCATGAAAAAGAGAAGAATGAAATGGCGGAAGAGGCATGCGCAGGAGGAAAAGAAAAAAGAAACACAGGGTTCAAATGCTGCGTCTTCTGTCATCAAAGCCGACGTGAAACGAGGAGGTGTCAACTGATTCGGTGTAGGTGGAATGGAGCATGCTGTACACGAGATGGGGCATTGGAATAGCCTCCGATTCACGACTGCAGGGGTTTGGCGGCCGGCGTGCAAATAATCTATTTCTGAGGTTGGGTCTTGACGTTGTTGGAGAGCCAAGCCTGCAAGAATGAAAGGTTAGCCCTGTTGAGCCGAGGTTTGGGGATTATTGACTTACAAGACCCTCAAAGATACCGGTACCCTCCGTTGCAACACTGGGTGCAACATACCACAGCTTGTCCTTGAGCTTGTTGAGTTGCAGTGCCTGGGTGACGTCTTCAGGACTCATATCTGCAAATAACAACTGATTAGCTCTTGATTCTGAAGTTAGGAATGGAAGATACATACGGCCCTGGACATCCTGCTTATTAGCAAAGACAAGGAGCAACGCATCCTTCATTTCGCGATCATTGATGATCTTGTGAAGCTCCGAGCGTGCCTCTTCCATCCGAGCAGTGTCGCTAGAGTCGACGACGAAGATAAGACCTTGTGTACCTGGTCGGAGAATCAGCATTAGCACCGGACACCCTCGAAACTAGTTGCTCCGTGCGAAACTCGTACCGGAGTAGTAATGTCTCCACAGCGGACGGATCTTGTCCTGACCACCGACATCCCAGACGTTAAATTTGACATTCTTATATGTAACGCTCTCGACGTTGAAACCAACGGTGGGGATCGTGGTGACATCCTGATTTGTAAGTTTCAACTTGTAAAGAATTGCTGTTGACACCTTGATTAGTACAAATATTCACAGTTGATTAGCTGACAGAAGCAATCAGCAGGGAGTCTCACTAGTTTTTCCAGCAGCATCCAAACCCAGCATCAAGATTCGCATCTCCTTGGTGCCGAAGATCTTCCCCATTATTTTAGACACGGAACCGCCCATTGTGACACACGATAAGCGACCGCTGAAGGTCGCAGACTGCTGAAGAGATTAAGAGAGTATTGAGAATTATGTTGCGAGATCGTTCAATGGGTGTTTCCCGGTTCGGAGTTGCAGTCGCTGGAAGGAGAGAATGCGTTATTAGGGAGGGGGTTGTGGAGGGAGAAGGACGACGAGGGAGAAGGACAGCGAGCTAAGCACGGCCGGAGGGTCAATTTCTTTTCCGTCCGCGTGAACAAGGTAATGCCCCATTATTGGCAATGCGCCGAAGTACGCAAGGTAAACAAGACATACAGAACTTACCTGGAGGGGAGGAGAGGAGGGGGAAGGGAAGACAGCGAGGCCAACAGAAGATTATAGGGAGAGAGAGTATGAATGAATGAATGGATGAATGAATGGACGGACAAAACGAATGAACGGCACACTGACAAGACCAGCAGGGGTAAAAGTCAATCCGACCGTGACTGATCAGAGGAAGAGGAAGAGAGAGGAGGTAGGAGCAGCAGCAATAAGAAATTCAGGGTTCACGATCCACCTCACGAGAAACGATTCTCCTTCTTGCTTCGCTTTCATTTTCCCTTTCACAAAGCTCGAGCGCCTCCGTAAAAGGGGCTATCTGATGACTAAGCACCCCCCCCCGCGCCAAGCACTTCGGCTGTTTCAGACTCTCATACAATCATTCATCGATTATCATCCTGGTCGGCTTGTTATCAGTCTGTCCAGTTCCAAGTTGCCAGGGGGTGAGAAGAAGGAAGAAAGAAAGACAGAAAGAAAAAAAAAAAGAAAGAATGAAAGGCAATTGTTTAACCGAGGAACAAAAGTCGAAGGAAGGTACGGAGTAGGTAAGCACTCAATACCTGATCTAAACACATTCTAATCCATCCCAGCTTCTCATCGGATGGAGTGTTGGACAAGAAACCTATCGGATCTCTCCGCATTGAAACAGTATTCCGCATTCACCATTCAGCAGTGAAATACGGAGTATACACATTCACAACGGACACACAACGGACACAAACGGAGCAATTAGAAAGAACACAAGCCACATCAACCAGGATTATTAACATCCGAGCTGCCATCACCCGTGTAACAAACGCCAGGCACGGCGATGGTCGGTAGGAGGCGGTACCTTTGTGTATACAATACGTCATGGCCACACTGGTGAGGTCATCCCACCATAGCTCCTTCGCACATGGTCGGTCTTACGATCTTTCAGTCGTAGCACAAAGCTGTTGGCTTTTTCCGGACGACTTTTCCTCTATAAGACCGCGCAGATACCCTTGTGTTCGCCCGTGACAATCCCACTCATTTTTTTTTACTCTTCTTTACACCCAATCATCACCATTAACATGGCAGCCCGACCCTTCCGCCGTCGCTCGTCAGTCCATGAACAACAAGTGTCGCACCATTTCAAGAAATTCTCTTGGGAGGCACCCCCATCGAAGGTACAAGCGCATCGTGTCGATGGTCGTGAATGTCGCGCAACTTACTGACGGTCCTTCCTCCTAGACCATCTACGCAGGTCTTTCGATCTTGTTCGATGATGATGGAGCAACAGTAGCCATCGCGATTCGGGATGCGACCTACCTTCTCGACTTTGTTCAGGATGATCTCACTGCCGAGGGTGACGAGTCCCTTTCTACACAGATCGTCGACTATGTCCTGAATAACTTGCGCAAATACAGCGAAGAGCGCCTCGAGAAGTTCATTGGGTTAGCCATGCCGACAACAGTGGCTAAGAAGTGCCCGACTCTTTGTTCCAGACTCTGGGCTGAGCTCGATATCATCCCATTGGTCTTGCCTGAAGAAAGCAGCATCGGTACCGAAAATGTCTCCAACCATCCTATTCGTAAGTCTACTGGCTGGGAGATCAAGAGTGTCGACGAACAATCGGAGTCCATGGGACGGAAATGTGTCAGGTGCGCTAAAAATTCCTTCTCACTATGCTTCTGAATCACTAACAGCAATTCAAGGCTATTCGGACCCGAAAACATTCCTTTGCTGCAGGTCGGATTCTTGGGCTTGGTGGAGGTGGACACTGCCTTCCACGTGCGTTTGACGAACCTAGAGGATTTCCGCAAGACAGTTACGCAGAAGACCTGGGATGCGGTTCAGTATTATGCTTCCGATCTCAAGAAGAGAAAGACTAAAGTGGCGTTCTTCAGTGCCACTCCTCAGGGAGGTGGTGTTGCACTGATGAGACATGCCCTTGCAAGGTTCTCCTATTCTCTGGGAACCGATATTAGATGGTAAGACTCCCGACAACACTCCGTGCGTGTGAGACAATGACTGATTGTCAAACCAACCAGGTATGTGCCCAAGCCTAGACCAGGGGTTTTCCGCATCACGAAGACCAATCACAACATCCTGCAAGGAGTCGCAGCTCCAGATGAGCGCTTGAGCGAAGAGGACTGGGACAAGGTTATCGATTGGATTGATGAAAATGCGAAGCGCTACTGGCTCAGTCCGGGAGGCCCTCTGCGCCATCCCTCTGAGGGAGGTGCGGATGTCATTATCATCGATGATCCCCAAATGCCTGCTTTGATTCCTATTGCCAAGAAAATGGCACCCGACAGGCCGATTATCTTCCGAAGCCATATTCAGATTCGGAGCGACCTCATTGCTCAAAAGGGATCGCCCCAGCAGGAAACCTGGAGCTGGATGTGGAAACAGATCCAGCAGGCAGACCTCTACATCAGCCATCCTGTGAGCATCTTCGTTCCGGAAGATGTTCCTTCTGAGAAAGTGGGATACATGCCTGCTTCGACAGACTGGTAAGTTGACCGTCTACATGCCATGAACGCGTATCTAATTAGTAGTACAGGTTGGATGGCCTGAACAAGAACATGCAGGACTGGGATGTCGCCTTCTATGGCCGGATCTTCAATTCGATGTGCAGAAACTCGGGCATGCTTACAATCAACTTCCCCGAGGGTAAGCCAGCACACCTTAATTGCACTTGAACGCTACTTAACAAATGCCTGTAGATGAATACATTGTCCAGATAGCCAGATTCGATCCTTCCAAGGGTATCATCGACGTTGTGGAGTCATACAAGAAGTTCCACCGACGGTTCACGGCCTCGCTGCCCGACAGGAAGCCGCCCAAGCTGCTCATCTGCGGCCATGGCTCCGTCGATGATCCGGACGGCTCGCTGATCTATGACTCAACCTTGTCGCACATTGAGACCAACTGCGCCGACATCTCCGATAACATCTGCGTCGTGCGACTCGGACCCTCGGACCAGGTGCTGAACGCGCTCCTCTCGAAAGCCAAGGTGGCCTTGCAGCTATCGACGCGGGAGGGATTCGAGGTCAAGGTGTCGGAGGCCATTCACAAGGGTAAACCAGTGATCGCCACCAAAGCCGGAGGCATCCCGCTGCAGGTGGCCGACAAGAAGAACGGGTTCCTGGTGGAAGTCGGCGACACCGATGCGGTCGCGGAGCATCTGTTTCAACTCTGCACGGATGACGAGCTGTACGAGCGTATGCACAACTACGCCCTGGAGCACGTTTGCGACGAAGTGAGCACGGTCGGTAACGCGCTGAACTGGCTCTACCTCGCATCGAAGCTGTCCAAGTCGGAGGACGTGAAGCCCAACAAGCGGTGGATCAACGACATGGCTCGCACCGAGGCGGGACAGGGATACACGGGCCAAGAGGACCGACTGAACCGGTTTGATTTGTAGATCAATTTCTGATTATTGTTACGCATAACGACAGCCCTTGCTTCTTTGCTTTTGCCTTGGGTAAACTTGCACAACCACTCGACTCCCTTTCTTTATCAGACCACTCCTCTTAACCCAATTACACACTACTACTGCTTTCGGTTGTTTAAATTAATGTGAAAGAAATAAAGCAAATAAACATACAAAATAGAAATACATACATACATCAGGGGTATATCATCATCACAGCCAAATCCAAAGATCTTTTCACGAAGTAGGAACTCCAAACCCACATCCCCGTCCCCTATACATAACCCTCCCACCTCCAAGAACGAGAATCAACCTCACCTTCCAACAACCCGATACCTCTCCCTCGCCATGCCCCCCTCCGCCCCCTCAACCCCATACCCCTCCCCAACCTCCCCGACAATCCTTGCCGGCGCGCCCCCAACCACACACCAACTGGGCACAACCATCCCCGGCGCCACGACCGCGCCATCCAGCACGTACGCGAAATCCTTCAAGATCGCCATACTGCCCACCACGGCATCCCGGCCGATGTGCACGTGGTTGCCCACGCTGGCGGCCTCGACGACCGCGCGCTCGCCCACGAACACGTGGTCGCCGATCTTGAGCGGGTAGAACGCGTACACGCCCCGGTGCAGCCGCGACGGCGGCCGCAGGATCGCCTGCCGCGAGATGTAGCTGTAGCGGCCGATCGTGATGGCTACGGATGGCGTAGTTTGGGACTGAGATGCTGCGCCCGAGGTTGAGGATGTAGAGGATGTGGGTTTGTGGGAGCTGGAGTGCGAGCTGGAGTGGGAATGAGAGCTGGTGCTGGAGGAGCGGTAGAGGTCCCCCCGGATGACGGCGTCGGATTGGATGACGGTCTTGCCGCCCAGGATGATGTGCTGCGTGCCGTGGATGAGGCTGCGGCGTGAGATTTTGTTGCCTGTGTCCTGTTTTGACCGGGAAAGAGGTTAGTGGGGGTTTGTTTTGGGGCGGAGGGGTTTGGGGGTGACGGTACGGTTTCAATGTATTCGCCTTTTGGCGCTTTGGGGGGCATTTTTTTGGGTTGGTTGAAGGGATTAACTTTGAGATGGAGAGGCGGTAGCTGTTGAGATTGAATGTGGGGATGGTGTACAGTACTCCGAGTATGAGTTCAAGAAGTAGAAGCTGGATGGAGTGTTGATGCGACGGCGATGCATGCCGCGGCAGTTGGGCGCGGGCGGTGACCACTATGGAAAGGCGCCGTACGAAGCGGTGAGTGCGTGATGCTCTTTCCTGGTACTGTACAGCTGCGAATGTGGCTAGAGTGAGTGTGTACTTTTTCTACGGTGATGTCCTGGTCACCGGATGCTTTTCTACTCCGCACACTCAAGCCCCATAGATCCAATCGGGAGTCGGTCGTTGATAGCACTTTGGACAATTGGGAATCGCGAAGCTACTAAGTAGTAAAACCGACCCGAACGGCGTACCCAACAGAGCTAGTATGCTTATCGCAGCTTATCAACATGGAGCTCGCCTCCCACTGCAGGCACAGTACTTCGAAAAAACTATCAACTAGAATCCTGGCAACTTAAAATATCATGTAACAAGAATTCACTCTTGATTAGACATATTGTTTCAAACTAAAAGGATATCTCAAACAAAAATAGCAAAACTAGATTAGGAGTATCAATATAGTCCGCAACCGGCTCAAGCAGAAGTGACCTGTCGCTGAGGAGCAGGGACGTCACCATCGAAGTGGACTTTGTAGGCTAGAGTCGAAACACGTTAGTCTCCTTCAACACCACATCTCGGAAAGGTGCACCTACTAGTGGGGAAAGGCGAGTAAGCGCCGTGGTCCTCCCGAAGATAGACGGAGTAACCGCCCTTCTGAGGGATCTTCTTCAACACTCCCTGGGCACCAGGGGCAGGACGGAGGTTGTCCAACCGCGCTACAACGCGCACCATGGCCGTCACCGCAATTAGGGTAGCTTCCTTGCCCAAGCCGCTTTGAGGACCTGTGCCGAAGTCGATGTAAGAGTCAATAGGGCGGTCGAGGCGGATCTCATCAGGAGAGGGGAAGGCGATCGGGTCACGGTTGGCTCCGCGCTGTAGACTGTTAGTTGCTGGCTACATATAGGCCGCAGTACGATGAAAGTGACTTACAGAACCAACAAAGACCTTATCGCCCTCCTTGAGGTAGACAGGGCCATTGTCATCGGACAGGGTGATGTTGGTTTGAGCCTCACGGTAGGTACCCAGGTTACCGTTCAGGCGGATCGCCTCCAGGCAGTAACGCGTCAAATTATCGTTAGCATCCAAAGTGTCCTGCTTGGCCAGCTGGTTGATCGCAGCCAGATGCTGCTTGCCCTCAGTCAGGTAGAAGTGGATGATTTGAGTGAACTACGAGAGTCAGTATGCCTGCCCTAGAGACGTTTCTGGACCGACTCACCATTTGGGCTTGGTTATGCACAATCTCCACAGCTGCCGGCAAGATCTGTCCCCATGTAACCTCAGATACCCCGTGGCCACTCTCAAGAAGTCGCTTGATGAGCTGGTCACCATAATCCTTGAGAACATTATGATCTTCTCGGAAGCTGTCAATGATACCCGAAAGGAAGCTGGGGGAGTTGATGGATTTGACATGTCCCTCAACGAGTCGACCCAGTTCCTGCGAGACAGCCTGAGCAGCGCGGTGAAGAGAGAAGGACTTCATGAGATCCACGTCGAAGAAGATGGAGCTATAAAGCGTTGCCATGATCATGAACATCTCATGTTCAGAGTAGACACCACGTGGGTGGCTATTTGTCTTCAGAGGCAGAGAGAAGATCTTCGACACAAAGTGCACAGGAACGAGGTTTCCAACACTGTAAAACTATTAGGAAATGCAGCTCCACGGACACGTGAAACTTACTCTCTAGCAATGTCCACCTGTCTCCTACCAGCAAGGTTGCATGATTTCTCTCCAAGCAACTTCAGAGTGGCGTCTTCGTAGAAATCCTTAATGTTGGTACGCCACTGATCGTTGTCGAGAGACTTGCTCCAGAAGTCGGTACCTCCCTTGCCAGCGTGAACGGAAGTCAAACCACCCCAAATGACGCGGAAGTCCTTCCCGTAGTCCAAGGCCAACTTGACGTTGTCATAAGAAAGTAGAGAGGGAGTAGGTTCGGTGTACCGGGGTGCGTCATAAGAGTAATCGGCCTCACGACCGAGGTTCTTCATGATGTTCCGGTTCTCACTCGGAATTGTCATGGGGTAATGGGCATAGATGGAGTCTCCCTTGAACCAATTGGGGAAGACACGCGTCGCCAGCTTGTAGAACACGCATCCCTGGTTGATGTTGAGATCATAACGTACCTCGTTGTAGCCCCAGTTGGTGAGGTTTCGGGGGTTGTAGTCAATCTGCACAGGCAATTAGTTCGTGCGACCCCAGGATCAGCATATGATCAGATAACCTACAGTGTAGTATCTGTCTCCACGGACCAAAGCCACCGCGTCGGACAACACCGCACGGGAGATTGTGTAAGTAGGAGCAATGCCGACTCCAGGAATCATTGGCTCCTTGGCTTCCTCTGCGACGATACCGGGGTACAGCTCGACGTAGTCAGGGTGCTCGTACAGATGCCGCAGAGCATCAGCGACCTCAGGGTCGGAGTTGATGTCTTCAAACTTCTCATAGGGCTTCAAGTTGAAGAATTTGCGGAATTCATTGAGCGATCCGACGTTCCACTTACGGCCCTGTTCGATACCCAGGATTTCGACGGACTTCAGAACCTTGGGAACATTACGGGCACCGAACGAGCCTAGAATTATTAGTCCTGTGTCTTCTTTCAGACTTACACAAGGAAGATACACTTACTTGCAACGTCCTCAATAGCAGTCTTAAGAATGTGAACGAGCTCTTCATCTTTGAATGTCCCATCCTCCTGGCGCTTCAAGCCAGCGAAGGTACGCTGGCTGGGGTCCTTCGGAATGGTCTCTTCGTACTTCTTGAGTCCCATGAGAAGCTCGGGGAGGGTAACCTCCTCGGCAGGCTTGCCCATGAGCTCTTCGTAGACCTGCTCAGTCCATTTCTCGTCACCGGCACTAATAGCAGAGTGCCAGCGGTAGGCCAAGTTGAACTCGATGGAGCACTGGTTTCCTAGACCAGAAGGGGTGGTCTTGCTACCCTCCATCTGGGCTCTGGGATCCTGTTACTCGTTAGAAGTCGAACCAAGGATAGAAGTAAGCTTCACGCTTGCGACTCACCAGGCACCAGGTACTGTTACTCCGGTTCAAGTTGACGATTGTACGGAGGTAATCGTACAGGGTGATGTTGATGAACAGACCACATGTGACGCTAGAATTGGTTAGATGAGAATTGTAGTGGGAACTCCTCACGGAACACTTACAGTCGACCAGTCTGAAATAAATCCTCATCGTACTTAGTCCACGCTTCTTGGGCCTGCTTCTCTGGAAGCCCGGGACGAGGTTTAGTGAAACGACCATTTTCATTAATGGCCGCCAGCTCTTCAACAACGTAGTTGTGGAATCTGTGACGAAACAATGCATCAGTTAACGTCAGCACCGTAATGCTAGGATGTTTTCCACTCACCGGCTCAGCATAACCATGAGAACACTGCAGGCCGCCGGGAACGCTTGCAGACGCTGCTCCGAGAACGTATCCGGCTTCAACTTTCCATCCTTGAAGGTACGGACAAGATCCTGGTCGTCCTTGGTGTCACCGTAGAGGATGGAGAGATCGAGGTATGCCGAGGTCTTGTTGATGTGGGGCTGTCTGTAGTCTGTCTGGAAGATATCTAAACAGGATATTAGCGATGTCGTGGGAGCATGAGCACCTGAATTACCAACCGTGGATGATCAGAGAGGCCCAATCGAAGAAAAGACTGGAAACCTTGTTCGGGTGGGGGGTGAACTTCTCGCGCGCAAAAAGACAGTCGAAGACGAGACCTGAATCAGGAAGTCCACCGGGTTGAATTGTCAGGGGAGCGATCGAACGGGCGTATGGCGTGTTTGCAGCGCCCAACCACGGAAGGGTGGGATTGTTGTTCGAGCCGTCGGCAGAGCGGTACGCATACTCATTCCCCATGTACCTTCACAACCCAACATATTCATCAGACGAGCTGCTTTTGCACAATTTCGCAGGTTCTTGCCCATTGTCGGAGATCGACTTACGAGAGAGGAGGGTGAGGCAATGAGCCCCAGAGCTCGTCCAAAAAGGCATTAGTGAGATCGACACGATTCTTGGAGTTTCCGGGCAGAGCGCTGACGAGCTACAGAGGAGAAGCGCAAGGAATGTCAGCGATCAGAACAAGTCAAATCAGCGGATGCTCGAGTCTTTGACGCCCGCTTACCTGAATAATGCGTTCCATAAGCATGGTCTTATCGTCGATAAACTCGCCCTTGGCTTTATTCTTGATCAGGTCCTTCAATGTACCAACATCCTTGATGCCCAGAGTTCTCAAATCCGAGAACATGCTGCTGGAGTGTTCATGTTCGATGTAGGTTCCATCGCCGTTCTGGTTCGGCAGAGGACGCTGCGAAGCGTGCAAAACCTGGGCATATCGCTCGAAAGCAGACAGACCGTCGTCGTGCTTATCTTGCTTCTCGTACCGCGGCTCACTGTGACTCTCATCCGATGATGAATTGGGCGCCGGCGAAACTTTGGACGGACGTTTCGTCCCGTTGGTCTGAGTACCATTTGGCTTCGGTTCGCGCTCCCCCTTTCCCTTCTTGAACGTGCTGGAGAATCGGCGCAACATTATGATTATATGATTTAAGTGTAGAATACGAAAAAAGCGTGGAAACGGAGAGATAAAAGCTGGAGACGAATGGCTATAGCCGACGAAGGGGTGCAAGCAAGAGAGAAAAAGCAACCGACGGCAGGTGCCCAGGCTTTTGATCTGTCCGAAATAACAACAGGACTTTAAACGAGGCACTGCATGGGAGTCCGTCCGCGATCAACCGTGCCAGCCAATTTGTGGATCCAGTGCATCGAATCCCAGCGCAACAATACTAATGACACAGTTGCGGACGGCGTCGCTGGCTCGCCACTTGCATATGTGCCGTATTCCCTAAATGTCATTCATGATTCGATCTATCTCCCGGGCCCCGCGCGCAGCACAAATTACCTAGTAGGATGGCTTTGGCTGAAGTTTAGAAGCACAGCAGAGTGGGGAACCTCAGGTTGACCATGCAAAAGGGGGCATGATGTGGAGTCGAACGTGGTTCAGCTGTCCTACACTACTCATAGATATCTCTGGTACCGTCATTGGTGCTAGACAAGGCCCGAGCTTGGCTTGATCTTGGTACATAGTGAGTACATACATAGTACGGAGTACATACCGGTAGCACAGTACAATAAGAATGGCTGAAGGGAACAACCAACGTAAATGTGATGGAAAAGGAAGTCGGAAAACTAAAAAGTGAATCTCAGATCGGGCAAGTCCGGCATCGACGGAGGAAGTGGGTGTCCAATTGTTTGGAAATTTGTGGTTGATCCCAATCCAAGATCGCCCATCCTCGAGCAAGCTCCAAAAAGTTCTGCAGGATGGATTGTCCATGCCAAGATTAGCGACGACACCATGGAGCTGGAACTTGGAAGGGGTTCAAGTCTCCACTTTGATTGAGGAATGCCAATCGCAAGATGGCATTGTACTGGACTCTTGGTCCAAGCTCTGCGCTATAACATAAATCTCTATTGGCGACCCATCGATGATCGGACAGGCGCTGTGGAGGTCGATCGCGCACCACAAACACAAGAGAGATTGGTACTGTCTCACCTTGATGGACAAACGAGGAATATCAGCTGTGCGGGCTCGAGAACTGACTGGCAATCTGACGTCCTAGGTGGGAGGCCCACCCCTTGAGACGTGCTGGCGCTGACGATCCCTCACCGATTTATGCATTTGGACCCATCCCAGCTGCAACAACTCCCCCTACAATGTAAGGAAAGCCAAAGCCTATTCGGATGAAGGGATGTAGTAGCTGTAACTGCGTAAGCCCGACTTAAAGATTTTGTATGTATTTTCCAGGTCAACGAAGTTGCCTAGGATCACCCATGACATCTTGCTGAACATCGCGAGTCTCGGGAATTAAAGGAGCCAAGGTTGTGTGGGTGGAGAACCATAAGGAGGACGGATCACAGGGTACCCACGCGTTCAGACCATGGGGTTCATCTCGACTGTGCAAATGAGGGAGGGCTATGCAAGAGAGCTTTTCCTAAAGAGCATTCAAGCGGTCGCTACCTACCAGTCCTGGATGGTTGGGCGGGGGCGGGAGGGATTCACATCCAACAATGCCTTCTGCATTATCCCTGCATTCGTGTGCTGAATCCTTAATTACACAATCTGAAAATATTGCCCTAGGAGGGAGGTTCTTTCCTCTTGGCTTGAACACTATGATTAGCTTGTGCATCATCAACAAAGCTAGCGGTCATTGTGTTCCCGAATTGCGTTGTGAGTAACATATGAGTACGGAGTAGACCCAGAGTTTTCAAGATGCGAGTCGCTAATCCTCGGTCGATCATTAGTTCGTGACTGGAAAGCCCAATCAAGTAATCGAGATCTGTGTGACGAGCACAGGATTTACCCAGCCGCACAGGTTGCAATGAAAGGGAGTTCGACATGGGCCGTGAAGGAGTAAGACTGGCTGGCCGTCAGCCCAGCCGCACGCTCGGCCTCATGGCTAGCTGGAACAAAAGCCGGCCATCCTTCATTGGGACAGAGTGTGTGTAGGACATTGGGAAAGGATCGACCAGAGCGACCAGAGCAACACGGGAAAGGAGCTTGCCAGTGCGATCTTCGGTGGATGTTCTGCAGAGATGAGAAGGGGGGAGGTGGTTGGGTTGTTGACTTGTTGTGGACTGACTGGGGAGTGGGGAGCAAGAGAGACAGAAAAGGTCAGAGTTTGGACCAGCCAGTGTTACGATCGGGTGTTGCCGAGTGGTTCATGGGCGGCCCCAGGCCGTCGGGCCCCGCAGTTGGATACTTCGATAACTAGTTCTCGTTAGTTCATCGCCTAGCATTGATTTACTCCCACCCGCACCACCCACCCATTTCGTGGGAGGTCGGCATGGTGGCGTGTGCTCCAGGCTCAGCTGAGAGAAATGCGGACAGTCAGATGTTCGAAGACTTGAACAGAATTCTCTTCTTGTCTCTGGCAGCAAAGGATTTTGTGTTACACTCAAGCATGCTAGCATCCATCCAGCAGGTACTGTAAATAGGGGAAAGGATCGTCCTTTTCATGGCTTGTGGGGACCAGAGCCAACTTTTCTTTGTCCTTCGCTTAGGGGCCCATATTCAATCTTTTATGGTTCTTATCAGCAATACTCATCGGGATCCGGTGGGTCTGAACAAAAAATTGAATGGCCCAAGTGCATCTGCACGTCAGAAAAGCCCAAATTTCCAGCAGAATCAACTTTGCGAGTCATTGCATCTCTTTTCCACCACTGTTCGTTTACATTTTCGGAGACCATCTCATGTAGGCTCAGCTGAGGAGCAAGTTCTTGGAGTTACAAAGAAACTCTCTCGGGCCTCCCACGATTGCACCACTGGAACCCATAACCTTGAAAGATCTTGTGGTACCCCGTACTCTTGGATTTCTTCTCCCTTGGGAATGCCATTGGTGGAGTGTACGGTCCACCCAAGGGCAAACATGGGAACGATCGCCCTCCCTTTGCACATTTGAACATTCTTGGATCTCTTCAGTACTCGCAGTCTGTGATTTTCGTCTTGCTATGATGTCGACAAGTCATGGATTGATTGACCATTGTCACTCACGCGGGGGCGCAAGAGACGGAACGGGAACCCCGCCTATGAGATGTATACTCCACGGAGTACTTCGTATCGGTACACATGGCTACACGGATGTCGCTAGAAAAGGCTGACATATGGTGGTACATTGTATTTTTTTCCGATGATGATCGCCATCGATCCGTTCCTCCCAGAAGCACGGGGCCTTGGAGATTTGACACCGGACCGCGCCAAAACTCCATCCGCATCGTGCTAGATAAGCGTCCGTGCAGGATGAGTCGAGCTGGACGCCCTGGGAGGGGTTTGGCAAGCAAACCTAAGTGAGATGTTCGTGGCTTTTCTAGGCTCCTGATTAGCGTAGACATGCCGTGTCAGCATTGGCCGCTGCAACCGCAGCTGACATTTGCCTGGGCTGACCCGCGAGTCGGCCTGTATGCCGTAAAGAAGCTAGTATACCGCACTGCCCGGACTATAAGCAATTTGAGAACTCGTTAAGGCGATCGGGGGGGGCAAATCAGCCCGCTGCATATTATCACAAAAGGGGTCGCCCTAATGCAGAGGCAGAAGTTGGAGGAATGCGTCTCAGCTCTGTCTCGGCCAACCATCATTGTGGGATCCACCCAGGGAAAACTGGATTGGATTCGACGTATCTCTTGCTAGAGGCCGGCCTGAGGCTGCAGGAACCCCCATAAATCCAAGTTCCGGACGGTCTCACAGCAGCGTCCCACGCACTCTCTTTCGCAGTCTTTGACTCTGAAGATCCCACGCACCGTAGGGCCGCAGGATTCCGGCATATGCGTGCCTTGGCTGCCAGTAACGTTACCGACGCATGTGTATATACAGCAGTGGCATCCCCCGCGCTAGTCGTGATTCCGATCGCTCAAGCACCACCGCTCTTACCCTTTTCTTCTAATTGTCGGTAGAATCGCGACTAGTCAATTGCATGCAATCCTTTCTCAACTTTGAGACCATGGATGGAGTACCAATGGGGATGGGTCCGGCCCCTGTGCGGAAACATTTCGTCCTGTGCTTCGATGGAACCGGCAACAAATTCTGTGGGGATGAGTCGGACAGCAATGTACTCAAGATCTTTCGGGTAAGTCAGGTCCTTAGGTGTACTCTTTGAATGAGACCACCCGTTACACCCGATCAACTGGCTGACGTGCGTCTTCTTCCCGGGGATTAGATGCTTGACCGCAGCAAGAGCCATCAATTCCATTACTACCAGCCTGGGATTGGAACCTACGTAACCACCCACTCTCTGACCAGCCACAGTCGCTACCAGCGGATCCGGTCAGCATATCTGAAGGCCAAGGATTCTGCCATCGGTTCCTCTTTCGACCAGCATGTGATGGGTGGATATAAGTTCCTGATGCGGTACTATTCTCCCGGCGATGATATCTACTTCATCGGATTCAGTAGAGGGGCCTATATTGCACGCTTCCTGGCCGAAATGCTTGACTATATAGGATTGCTCGAGGCCGGTAACGAGGAGTTGATCCGCTTCGCATGGAAGACTTTTGCCAAGTGGCAGCAGCGACGAGATGATACAGATGAAGAGCGCGAAGAAAAGAAGAGGCTCTTTCGGTACATGAAGGCATTCCGCGAAACATTCAGCCGACCAATTAGTAGGATCAGGTTCATGGGTCTGTTCGACACTGTCAACAGTGTTCCGCGCTTCGAGTCAGCATGGATGCAAAGGAGCAAATTTCCTTACACCGCTCGTAGTTCCGCCAAGGTGATTCGACATGCGGTCGGTATTGACGAACGTCGGGCCAAATTCCGCCAGGACCTGATATCGGAAGTGAGACCCTGGGCTGAGAAGAAGAAAAAAGAGGCCCACCTTTGGGGACGCCAAAAACTCCATCACCTTCGTCATCCTGCTGAAAGACATGATCACAATGATGTTCCTGCTATTACTGTGAATGATGACAACGACAACAAGGAAATCGACGATGGGATGCAACGGCACCCAAGACGAAGCCACGAGGAAACAGAGTCTGTATACCGGAGCACTAACTGCTCTCGTGAGGACCTGCATCATGATTCACACCGATACCGTGCTCACCCCTCACCCAGCCCTAATCGAAAGCTCAGCCTGGCGGTGCCTGACATGGCGGGATCCACAGAGGATGTTCATTCTATCCGCAGCGGCAATTCCGGATTATCACTGCAAGTACCCGAAGTCATTGCGCAGGCGGTCATGGGTGACGAAGAGGATAGTGGGCAAGACATCCAAGAGGTTTGGTTCCCAGGGGGTCATGCAGATATTGGCGGAGGCTGGAAGCTTGGTGAAGATGAGGTTTGGCCATTGAGCCATGCCCCTTTGGTATGGATGGTCCAAGAAGCACAGCGTGCCGGGCTGCAATTCGACCCCCGGAAGCTGAAGCAATTCGAATGCTGTGAGGAATTTGACGGAGATTACACTCCAATCCATGAGAAGACAATAAACTGGAATCGCGAAAGTGACTTCTGCCGGGACCCGGCGCATAATAACGCAGACGACGGCCAGCCATCCAGATTTCGGCCACATGCGAATGAAGATACCTCAGAATCGAGTCGCAACTTCCGCGAGGCTCTCCTTTGCTCAAGCACCGAAGGCTTGCTGCACGACTGTTTGGAGTTCAAGATGGGTTTACCGGGTATGTCAGTTCTTACTTGGAAAATGATGGAGTACCTGCCCTTTCGCCGGATGGATCTTCAGAAGGATGGTTCGTGGAAGCCGATCCGCTGGCCGCTTCCTTGTGGAGAGGTTCGTGATATCCCGAATGAAGCTCAAATCCATGTCTCTGCAATTCACCGGATGAAGAGCGACCCCAACTACCGACCGGGCAATTTGATCATTGGAGGTGGCGGCCGTGGCGTGAAGAGAGCACCCGCCGAATACGGGATTGGTGAGTGGGAGCTCAAGGCTAACGCAGGTGATCCAGTGCGTGAGGTTTATGTGCGCAAGGATACCTCGAAGATGTGCAAGGAGGATCATCAATGAGATCAGTCCAGCACAAAACTATTCATCTTGACTTGTTCGAGTTCACTCTTATAGCCCTTCTACCATAATATTTAATCATTCGTCGTTCTATATTGATTACATTCCTGAAGGCCTAAACTCGAAGGATAGTCCATATGTAAACGCATGGTACTTTAAACCATCGCTCCAGAGATCTGTGTAGTCGGATGGCTCGAGATATCATATGCCAGTGTGGCCGCCCAATTTCTCCGACTGAGAACGACAGGGGTGAGCTACGACTTCCTGGGGGCTCAGACGTGTGCTGACCCTAGGAGTGAGGTCGTGGCAGCAAACTTTTTACTGTCCTCGTTGCAAGCTATTATGCAGGGCTGGGCCTGTCAGCATGCGGTACAGTCCGTACAGCACAGCTCAGGCCAGATTTCCGGCACGGCCGGAATTGCTGGAGAGGTCCATTAGGCACAATTTGGCACGTGTTGACAGGGTTGCAGAGTGCATTACGTTAGTGTGTTCGGCTCTGGAAACATCGACAAATGTCTGGACTGGCCTAGGCTCGGATCCATCTTGAGCAGACATGATGCTTCTGGGTGCTGAGGCTTCCCCTCTTTTGCCGTGGAATGTGTGAGTAGGATCCACCGCGATAAGGTGCGGGGTGCGCATTATCAGTTTGGAATGAAACATCGCAAGTAATGACAGAGTGTGAAAGAAAGTTTGCGCCGAATGATTCGGTTCCCTGTTCTCTCAACTAAGGTAATGAAATCGAAGCGACTAGGAAGGGTGATACAGGCGGAAGGAAGATGCTGCGTGAAGATGCTGCGTTTGCCAAGCTGTATCAAATCCTCAAGCCACGCTTATCGGACATCAGACAGGCAATTTGTGGCGGGAGAGGGGAAGCGAGAACCCGTCAGGGTCCGGATAGCAGCTAGATACCTCGGTCATCGTACTTAGTCAGTCGATATGATGAGTCGAGGAGGCAACTGCACCGGCTGAAGGCCATCAGTGAATTTGGAGAGTGATACCGTTGTGGTTGTATCTCTTTATTTGAGTAGTAGTTCTTACAGCAGCAGGAGAAGGGGTCTGAGGAGAAAGTCCACGTCCCCACTGGCAGTGGGTGTAGTTGACAATTGACAGAATTGACAGAAGCCAAAGGAGAAGGCGGTGTGCGGGTGGGCCCCGAGCAGGACTCGTGGTTTCCCCGACCGCGCGTTGGTTCTTTGGTTTTTGGTGGTTGAGCTGACCTCACCACTCTTAGATAAATTAGTTTAGATAGTTACTATCTACTAACGTTACCTCCCTACTCATCCTTCGTCACCACTCCGACCCTGTTACTCACTTCTGTTCTTGAGAAGGGTCAAAAAGTGCAGGGACAAAGGGAGGGGCAAAACAAAAAGAACAAGATCGTACGCAGAATAAAGAAGGGGGGTTCTATTGCTTGTGCGCAAAATAGTCCAGCCTTAAAAGAAAAGAAAATCGAAAAAAAAAGGGGGGGAACTTTCCCTACTAAATAACTCCTCTCCGCTTTGCTCGGGCAAAAATTCAACCCCCCCAAGCCCGTATATCTACGGAGTACTACTAACTTCCTATTTCACAACTACTCCGCTCCAACCACACGCCTCACCCTCCTCACCCCAAAATCCTGGTTCTGCGCCCGGCAGAGCACCCTTTCAAATTTTTCTCTCGCACACCAGCATGAGGTCCAGTTAGCCCAACTTTGGTTCGCAGACGGATATGGAAGCGTCTCACCCAGCCCCAGAGGGTATTATGTTACCCCCAAGCTCTATGGACTCGGCAGGTTCGGTTGACTCGACCTCGTCCGGCTCTACCGTCGAGCATACCAGGGAGCCAGAAAGCAGTGATCACGTCACGATCACCTTGTCTCTCACGCCTGATTCGCCTGCCCAAACCCCGAGTCGTGCTTCTTTCAACCGCTCCCACGTCCGCTCACGATCGATGATCGAGGTTCCAGGCGTCCCTCCAATGACGCGCGCCCACTCTTCCCCCGGGCTGGACTCGCGGGGCAGGTATATCTTCGTCAATGGTCGCGTGGGCTCTGCCAACGCTGGCGATAATTCAGCTAGGCGTTATCTGCCGCTGCAGGTGAACACGGGGGAATCGTCCGACTCGAGAATGGTGCCCCTGAACGTCTCCCAGACCATCTCTGAGAACGCGGAGTTGGACACCAGGATGGTTACGTCTCCTTCCAAGGCCGACTGGCACCCTACATCGCCTGTACTCCCGCACACACTTCCTCGCGTCAATCGTCGACGTCCCTCGTCTCCTTTGAGTTTCCATCCGCCATCGTCGCCTGGTTCGGTTATGGGCAGCCCGTCTCCCTCGCACTCATCTCCTGGCGTACTCAGTTCGCGATTCAATGAGACCTTTCCAGGCTACTCTGCTTCTTCTACTTCATCTATTCCCTCGACTCCTACCAGTCTCCGATCTCGCAGCCCGAGCATCTCCTCGCTGGAAACCATTCCGGATATTCCCGATGCGGAAGCAGCAGCCATAGAGGCGGACAGGATCGCAGCATTGAAAGCTGCTGCCGATAAAGCCGATGAAGCGGAAGAGGCCACCAATACGAATCGACGGCGTGGAACTTCCGATGCTTCGGGTCCCTCGAGCCCTTTCATGAACACGCGCGTTTCATCTGGTGGATACGGGGTGCGGGCCGATAAGCGGAAGCGCTGGAGTGTTTGTGGAGCGGAACGTCGTCAAGACCTGGATTTGGAGACCATCTGGGAAGATTGAGGAGTCAAATGAATCCGACACAACTACTATCAGGAACCACGATCCTTCTTGCAATGGACAACGGCTCTCGCCGGGCGTCAAGAACCACAAACCGCCCGAGCCGACCTTATTGAACCTTATCGAACACACATTTCTCATCCTTTCATTCAATTCGGCGCTCAATCGAGGGATACCCCCATCTCTTCCGTCCTCTTTCTAGCACGTGCGGTGTTTTTGTGCTTCGAATTTTGCCGAGGAGGGAAGAGCGGAGTCTTGAGGATCACGCAGGCTCGTTGATACTCTAGTCGTGGAAGGCAGCATATTGGCGCATGGTCACTTCAAATGATGCCCTGGGCGGATTTAGTCTCTGGGGTTTATGCGTTCCTGTTCTTTCACTCTTGCTTCCTATTAGCTGTCGTTTCTTTTTTCTCTCCTCTATTTTTTTTCGAGCGAGATTGACCTACCAACCTGTGATTCCCCTCCTGTTTCTCACTCGTTCTTGTTCATGTTCTATCAGCCTTGTGGGCTTGGCTCTTGTCGTTATTACTTTTGCTGTACCATGGTTGCCAAGGATTGACCGGTGAAGGTGTACATAACTGTGGCTCTGCTATACTGCCAATCATACATACCTCAAACAGTGTAGTTCGCTCTTGTGTGCCTTGTATATCAGCTAAGCTATATCTGTCAAACTCTCTCTGTTTCTGCAGAAAACATGACCAACCAAAAACCAAAAAAAAAGACCCAAAAGAACAAAACATCCCTTCTCCCACAAACCAAACCCAAAAAGCCAATCCAATCAAGCCCCACCAACAACGCCCAAATCCTCACGACCAACAACCACCCCCCCAGCCGACGGCAAAGAATCATCCCTCATGCCCCCGACCCCCAACCCGACCTTCCCCAGTCCATAAAGCTCACAGATCCCCGCCGCGGCGCGCTCCCCACTCCAGTACGCGCCGGTGGTCGTCCCCAGCGCCACGAACGGCGCCGTATGCTCGCCGGCAAACCACACGCCGCGGTCGGCGCCCATGCCTGCCCGCAGCACCTCGATATCGCGGTCCCCGCGCTGCAACCCGACCTGGAAGTTGCAGTACGAGCCGTGGCCCGCGTAGGGGTCCGTCTGCCACGTCGTGGCCAGGTAGGCGAGCGGCTGGCACTCCGGCGCGGTTGGGGAGTAGTTGTGCAGGCGGGCGAAGAAGGGGTGGAAGATTTCGTGGAGTTGTCGGTAGTATTCCGGAGAGGTCGGAGGGAGGTGTGCGATCTGGGAGACGATGTGCGTGGCGCTGGGGCCGAAGGTGTAGAAGAGGAGGGTCGGGTGAGCGGTTTGCCGGGAGGAAAGGGCGGCGAGCGAGATGCATTCTTGGTTCCAGTGGATTTCCGGGGGGTGGGTGGTTGAGTAGCTTGGGTTGAGGAATTGAGCGAAGGTCGGGGTTTGGTAGGATCTGTAGGTCGGGGTGGGGGTGGGTTTTGGGACGGTGGTACTGGTTCTGGTGCTGGTGCTGGGTGAAGGTGACGATGATGATGCAGGGTTGGAGGTGTGCCAGAAGGCGCGAGGGAAGGTGATGTATACTTTCTCGAGGCGGCCGTAGGAGATGCTGTCGATGGCTTGGCTGAGGCGCGCGGGTATGGATGGGGTAAACGCGTCTTTGTTGCGCTTGAGCCAGCCTAGGGGGCAGGTGACGACTACTTCGTCGTAATTGGAGGTTTCCCCTGAAGCTGTTGTTAGGGTCACTTGTGTGCTGGATGATGGCATGGCAGTGGTGTCAACGCGAACTGAGGACTCGATCTTGATAATCGGTTGGTTGAGGCGGATATCCGCGTGTTGGCATGCAGTCTTGGAGACATGTTCTAAGATCCGTGTATATGTAGATGCCACAAAGTAGTTGTCTGCGGACAGGGTGATCAGTAACTGAAGACGTGATTGGGATAGGAACCTTGTAGGAGAATGCTCACTTCCGTCTATACATTCTTCGAGGCAAAAGAACTTCAGACTCTGCCTTTCGATGGGGTCACCAACATAGGCACCCCACATCTTGCTAGATTCCACGCACAGCTCCTTTTCTTCCTCGCTGAGGTCGGTCTGCGCCACTTGTTCCTTGATGTAGTCAAGCAAGCTCCGATCGGCAGGTATTGTCTCTTTGTAGGTGTTGCTGTACTCAAATGCCTTGGCGATGATTGTCCACAGGACGTCCGAGACCTTCTCAGCGACATCGTCGCTGATTGGGGTCCCATCGGGAGCTATAAGAGCCTGGTTTCCTTCGAAGTCCTCAACGGCGGTGTTTGTTGCTTCAGCAATGCTGACTATCGGGTTCTTTCCGGTGCCATGGATCCAATTAGGGCCCCTGCTTGATATGAGCACAACGTGAAAAACAAGAGCAAGATCAGCATGCGACGGAAGCTTACATGTCAACCAAATGATCATGGATCTTGCTCTGATGTACCTATTTTGACATCTGGGTAAGCAAATAATTCTCGACAAGTGACAGTGGTTCATCTGTCGTCTACGTACCCTTCCACCGAGTCTATCTCTCGCTTCAAAGAGAACGACCTGGGCGCCGTTCTGGATGAGGATATCTGCGCATCGCAAGCCTGCGAAGCCCGCTCCGATAACAGCCACTCTTGGCTTGTGGCCCTCGGCCACGGTTCTTGACAGATAGGGCATGCCTCGGACCGACCGTAGCAATGATTGTACGTCTCTGGTATTGGTTGTATACTGGATTCGTAGGCTGGACTATGTGTCATTAGCTGGATTCGGCATTGATGTGTTGTGACATGTATAACATAGCTGTCATTTAACATTCTTCACGGCGGGTCACAATGAGCCAGGGAATGACTCCAAGAAATGATAAATGATATCATCCAATGACGCATTGAGCAAATCCATTTCTCCAGCTATAGTCGTCATTTCACGACAGACGACAGACTCCTCGAGGTCTAGAGGCCCACAAGCATGCAGATATTACATACTTGCATAATGCAGCGCAACTGCCTAGACCACCCGGACAACTGATCACAAGCAAAAGAGGACGTGAGAGTGCAGAAGCAGACTGCTTGGACCTACCGACTTGTGAATGACTTCGCTTTTCCAATTACGCAGCACCCAGGGTAAGCTGATAGACATCAGTCAGTCGAATGGTGGCGAGGAAGAGGCGTAACAATACTGTACACTAACTGGTAACTGGTATTTAAGTTGTACCATGGGTCTTTCCTTCGCCGCTGGCGAGACAGAGCGGTTATATGTCAGCAGGCGGCAGCCACGTGCATTGAGCCCTACCTGTCTGTTTGCCCTCCCCGCTCCCACTCTCGGACCCGCCCTTCCTCTTTCTCCCTTTATCCCGATCCTGCAGACAGCTAGTCTAAGCTATCCAGGTAGCTATCGCTGAGTTCTGCGCTTCGCTTATCATTCCCCGCACGCTATGCCGGAATCTACAACCTATCACCCAAGCTCAAACATCCTTGATCATATGCTATTGTTATTTTGGGAGGTATTAGGCTGATAACAGCACGGGATATCACTGTCACTCAAGACAGGATTGTCATCGCCAAACAAAAAGAGCCCTTGATTGCATTTGCCTGGAAGGAATAAAACAAGCAGTGCAAATAGCAATCACAATCCAATCATTACAAGTTGACCATCACTCCGATTCATACAGGCAAACAACGCTTGCTGGCTTGTAATCTCCAACAGGAATCTACTCAAGGAAGAGGGATATGAGACAAAAGAGAATAGAAAAGAGATAAGAAAGATGAGGTCATTATAGAGATGAGAAGACAGTAGTGCTCATCTCCAAGCACCTTGGCTCAGGGATAATAGTCCCTGGATGCAGTCAAGGTCCTCCTCCTGACTAGCGCCGCCTCCCCCACTCATGAAAGCGGACACCTCTGGGTCCAATTCCGGCACGTCCTTGCCGATGGACATGTTCGCTCTGTGCTGTGATTGTTGAGAACCTCGAGCATATCTGCCAGCTGGATTGACGATCTTATGGGGTTTGCCGTCCCTTCCGCTAGTGTCCTTGAGCACTGAACGTCGAGGATTGTGATGAGATGCAACCCGACGGCGATTGTGGGAAACTCTCGTCCCGGGGATCCAGTTTTCTTTATCTGAATCACCGCACTGCAAGTCGACTTCCCCGTCTTTCACCGCTTCCATATAGGCTTTCAGGTTGGATCCCGCGTAAGACAACTTGTGATCAGACTCTAATCGACCCAGTGACGAGACAGTGCGAGAGATCTTCCGTCTCTTCTCGCTGTTGGGTTTCGGAACCGGGGTATTAAGATAGTCTGCTGATTTCATCGGCAGAGACATGTTGTGCTTTGCTGACAGACTTCTGGTCAAGGAACGCTGACTCCGGGATCGGAAGAGCCCAGGAGAGCCAGCACCTGGAGCACTTTGTGAGCTCATTGGCGTGCAAAGGGCACTTCTCGCATCGGTATCGAAAAAGGCCTCCCAGTTTCTGGGATCTCTGGATCTTCCAAACATCCTCTCTGCATCCGTGCTGCCGGCTCGCGGGGTGCTGAAAGCCACCGCACTACTGCTCCTGCGAAGTCCTGTGAACGGAGGCTTCCGGGCCGAGAACATGGAGATACGATTCCTCGACGGAGAGGGCTCGCCATCAGCTCTGATCACAGCTTTCCCGTCGGACGACATTGCGATGCGAAGAGCATTCCGTCCTTTCGGAGGCGAGGGTGTGAACTCGCCTTCTTTCCGGACCATGGCTTCCCCATCGAAAGAGAGCGATAGCCGCAGCGAAGGCGGTGACTGAATATCGTGGAATTGGCTCGGTGTCGACGCACCCTGCACAAACGGCTTGTCACATTGAACCTCCGTGACCGATCGTTTCCTTTTCACCATGGTCTGTTGCGACTCATCGAATGTTGGAACATCTTGTGTCTGAGTTGACTCTGGCGCCGCAGTCGCCTCTTTCGATACTGGTCGCGAACCTTCTGGCGCTACGGACGTAGCCAAGCTTGTTTGAGAGCTGAAAGCCGGTTGTTCTAGGCCACCCTTATCCTCAAGTGCTTCATCAGACTCGCAGGAGTTGTCCGATGATTGTGTTAACGGGATCCCCTCCTGTCCAATCTCCTCAGGTTGTTCGAGACTGCTAGAAGGCACCATTTCCGAAGAGAGGCTATCGTCACTGGCGGCATGTTTCGACGCGTCGGACGCGGATGATCGAGGCGCGAGAAGCTCGTGTGGTTGAAGAGGCTTGGACTTGCGACGGTCATTTTGACGGCGATTCTGGAACCAGATCTGAAAAACGCGTCGATATGGTGATTAGAAAGCTGGAGGATACAAAGTACGAGTATTGTTCTTCCGCGTCATACCTGCACTTCCTTTTCGCCCAATGAGACGCGGCTGACTATACTAGCTCGGGCCGTCTTGTCTGGCTTGGGGTTTCGTTGATATTCTGCCTCGAGGATTGCGTGATCTTCTGGGCTATACATTCATGACAATTAGCAGTTGTACAAGAACATTGGAAAGCTATTCGGAGTTAAGGTGTAGTCGTGGTTCACGACCAGGGCGGTTCCCATGCATACCTTGTGCGGCGCCGCTTTTGCCGTGCCAGCAATTTGTTGTCCACCCGCGGCGGGAGATTCTGGGTCAATGTTTTCTGAGAGTGTACCAGAAAGGCATAATTAATCGGTGTAGCATCCCAAGTTTGAGCAGACGGCGGCGAGGACGAGCACGTTGGCTCAGCAGCGTGCTCCAGATCAGACATGTTGGGCAGCAGCGCGGAGGATTAAGATGACGGCATAGGCGGTATTCGAGGGAAAGAAGATAAATAAGAAAAGAAATAGGAAAAGAACGAAAGATACAAGCGGAAGAATTAGACCCAGGTGAAGACCCAAGTGAGCGAATTGAAGGGGAAGGAAGAGGAATTGATAGTCGAAAGTGTCTGTCTGGGTTGAGGTGGTGGGAAAACGTGCAGTGCCTCAAATTGAGAGCACGACGGAAAAGACGCTTTGCTTGATCTAATCGCGTCGCGATGTGTGACGCGGGCGGAGGCGTGGTAAGTAAAGTTGGTTTTCTGTTACTGTATGGCCAGGCCGCCCCCGTTTTCCGCTCCCTCTCCACTCACTCTGCCTCTTACTCCTTCGCGCCGCCCGCGGCTGACCCACTTCCGCTCACCACGAGGCGTTTGGTCCCTTTGTTCCTTTGTTCTTTTTTACATACAGTCACCATTTTAATCGTGATCTTATTCTTACATTGAGCTTGATTGATACATACCATAAATGACACTTGGCGATCATATGGAAGGGCATGTCTAGCCTTGTCTTATCATTCTTCCCTCGCCTCCGCGCACAATCACGGCGCGTGATGCAATCGCCCCCGTAAGCTTGGGGTGTAACGACGGAGCGGAGTAAATCACCACGCGATCATGGATAACAATCAACATTCCACAATAGGCATGGTTGGGACATCACGGGATCCTGCGTCTGTTGCGACCTTGTGTCACCTTGTGCGACACGCTGCGGTAGTCGGAGGGCATCCGCCCCTTGATTATCCTTATCTGATGGGCGGAATCTGACAGGTCATCTGCAGCAAACCAACAGGATACTCTTATTCAATTCCAGTTCTAGACAACTCCAATAGATAAATACACTCAGCCAACCCGATGAACAGACTCGATTCATTCATATCCGTCTGGACGATAGAATATGCCGGTCGGGTTGTTTACATGTTATCCTAAACAGGTATCTATGCCTCTTGCTGGTTCATATGACTGGGGATGTTCCACGGGTCATAATCCAGATGAACGAAAGCTCGATCCACGGTCGGAACGCTCTCAATCATGTACTGCAGGCTTTCCCCCACGTCGTGGCTATCCTGCAATCTCGTTTTGGGCTCGAGCACGATATCAATCTCGACATTAAGCTTGTCACCAGCGTAATATGCTTTCAAGTCCTGAATCTTCAAGATAGCCTTGGAGAAACGCATGGTCATATAAAGAAAGATGCTGTGATCTTTCGGGGATGCAGCGGCGCCGGTAAGGTGGCCGATATGCTCGCTGGCCGTGCCACTCCAATTCCAGATAACATATAAGGAGAGGAGCAAACCGCCGAGGGGATCAATGAACCAAGTATTGGTAAATGAGCCAACTTGATTAGTGGTCAGTAGGGTCGATGTACATGAATAATAGGTCGGTCAAACTCACCTAGAGGGAATAAGATGCTCGCTAGGTTGAAAACTACGTCTGTCATGGCGTCTTGCGCCAGAGCCTGGACACTTGAGTTCTTGATCAACCGGCACCAAAACCAGCAAATCAGCTTGATAACCACCGTACTGGCCATGACTGCGATAGACGGTAGCGTGAGCTCTACCACAGAGTGGTTTGACGATATCAACCGACTCAAAGATGTCAGTGCCACTTGAACGAAAGATGTCATCATAACGACTGCGAAAACGAGAACACTCAGTGGCTCCAACCGGCGTCGACTGATAGGATACCGGTAGCGGTCCTGTCGGTTGATTAAACTGGTGGTCATCCAAACAATGGCAGTGCTGAGGAAGTCCAAGGCTGCGTCAACTAAGCTGGCAAGCACTGAGAGGGAGCTTGTCATTGACATGACGACGATTTTGGCAGCCAATAGTATTATGTTGGCGATGAAGTTGACATAGATGGCAATGGTGACTATTCTATCTCCGCTTTCCACATACTCGTCGTGCTTGGGCATGATATCAGGCCGTGCTGACACATTCTCTTCCAGCGGTGGTGATAGAAGAGGGGTGCCTTCATTGGGAATGCGATAAAGATTGCGTGGGGTTCGTTTGATTTTAGCTGTATCATTACTAGAATCCAAACCATTGTCAGGAACGGTGTTCAGCTCGGATTCCCGTGTGCTGCTGCCATTGTTGGTATATGCAGAAGTCGGTCCCAACAAGCCGCGAGGTTTATGGTAATCGACTATCAAGCGGTGGGGCAAGGACGAGTCCAGCAATCGGTCGATGTAAACGTATTGGGAGATGAGGTCATTGTTGCGTTCGTAGTATTGTCGTCTTGGAGAATGCTCAGCAACCGCCAACCATAGACGTTAGATGCAGGAGGGGCTACTTACAGCGGCTTCGGCAAGCCTTGCAAAGTGGCTGGATGGCGGTAGAAAGATTGCCTTTGGGATCACTGTCAGCGTTTCAACTGTGTTCTTGAAAGCTAAAGCGTACCATCGATAAAAGGGGCTTCTGTCACCAATCAATCGCTTCGCGCGTTCGAAGGCAGGTCGGTCCATACGCTCTCGGGGAGCAATTGACTCATCCCATCGGTCGCTCTCGTCAAAGCCGTCGGAGTCATAAAGTGATAAGGAGCGCCGCCGTATCAAGCCCGCAAGGCGCTGGCCACGCGTGGATAGAATATCGCGTTCCAGGTCAAGGCTTGGCTGCCTAGGTCGTATGAAAGAGTCTGAATGAGCGGGTGATGAAGTTGAAGGCGGAGGAACGGTACTTGATCGACCTGTAGATACCATCTTTAATTGGATTAAGACAAGCGCAGCTTCCGTTGAGTATACAGGATTGTTTTTGTGTATTGGGTGAGAGTTTCCAGAAGCTAGGTAGGATTGTTGTGATGGTCGTGGCTGGCCTTTGGCGGGGAAGAGACCTTGGTGGAACCAGACTGGTCCGGATCGGGGTCGGCAATTTAGTTGGAAACCAGGAGCAGAGTCAATTGACACACCATGTTCCCTTCTGTCCATCGGGCAGGTACTCGCTCACTGTTCTGATTGCGCTCGAAACATTTTCTCGGTGATGTGACCTTATTGCCAGTATCTTTTGATACAATATGACTGAGCAGGCAAGGATTACTCTCTCGATGACGTCAATCCCTGTAGTCCATCCGGAAAAATCTTTGTTGCTTATCTGATTAGATCGGACCAAATATGCCAGATACGGCTCGGTTGAACGGATAATATGCGTCTGGACGATCTGCCTGAGATCGATTCTCATGGATTAGAGGTCTGTCGCTGTTCTGACTACGGCCAGTCTGTATGTCATTGGGTGGTTTCCACTCGACTTGACAGTATCACGGCAACACGGCGCAAGTAATCCCCTGCGCTTCGAAAACCGGCTAACGGAAAGGTTACCAAGCAACTGGGTTGATACCTGCTAGCGCATCTACGATGTAGGGAAGCTACGCAGGCCGTCATATATGAGTATAAAGCACATTATCTCTGCGAAAGAGGCTTGTCTGATACCAGGTGAAGTCATTATCTGTGCCGATTTAAGCTGTCCGCAAAAGTAGATGTTGTAGTTGAGTCCTGACCGTCAACAAATTGACATTCAACGCACACCATCACCATCGTACCGTGATACGGTCTCCATGCACCTAGCTTGACGCAATTAGGTTCGCTTCCGATCGCTATGATCGTTAGTAGCCCAGAATACGAGACTGTTAATAGCCGGGAACGTGTTGAAAGGACCTGGAGGGAAATGACAGTATCCTAAACTGGTTAGACTCTCATTTATCAGACCCTGGTCCGCGACAATAAGGTACCTTACCTAATATGGGAAAGCCCGTCAAGACTTCTCCGGCGGGGATTGGTGCAAATGGCTGCATGGCTGCAGGCTCGGCTGGGGGCATTTCCATCAATCGAGGTGCGCAGTCATCGTCTCTCCGCGACAAGTGTTAACCAGACTTGATCAGCGGATTTCAAAATTCATTTAGAAACCGTGTAGGAGTGTCAGTCTCGGCTAATTTTCAGATGGTTCTTAATACGATTCGTTGGGTCCGATGTCTATTTCTCATGCATTTAGGCTCATCTTGGCTCAATTCATGCGTTTGCGACACTGTTGTGCAAACACCACGTGGTCGATGGATAACCTCATCCATGGCAAAAGTCGAGCTGTTATAATTGGGAGCGACGCTAGATCAGGAGTGAGGAGTCACCTGAGTGATTAGCACGCGGAAATCAGCCGGGTTTAGGATTTGCTATTCATACCTGCGACGCATCTCTTCCCTTCACCACGCTGCCTGTCGACTTTGCCTCTCCACGGTCTGGGCAGTGAACGAGATCGCAGATCTAGTCTAAACTCAGACAGGCAAACAGGTCTAGAACACAATTGACCTGTCGGGTGGGCAGGTGCACATCTGTGTGCCACCGTGCCTCGGTGGACTGGGCCGCTACCCCGGAGCGAACAAGGCCAACAGTGGCGTGTGAGGAGGCATTTAGCCAGAGGGAAGTGAATTTCATTTACCCTATTGGCTTCTGCGGGGTTTAATTAATAGTGAATCTCTCCCCAGCCTGTCACTGAGGCAACATTTGTCCCTGCCCTGGCCGAGCCCCCCACATGTCAGCCAACGAATTGTCAATGCACACAGACTGGCTCTTCTCTTGCTTGCAAGCGCTATACTCGCCTAGTGGAACTCTCGCCAATTGAATCAGCCACTAATTCAAGATCAGGAAGACGGCGTGAGGTCTATTGGCAGTCTGGTCAACCGTCCCCGGATTTTCAAGGACAACTGCAAGCTTTTGTCCCGCGCCACTGTGCGGTTTTGTCCAGTCTGTCAGCCCATGACAATGGAGCTAGTCAAGGATAATATCCATTCCAGACGGGGTTGGGCGCACATGGACTCTATATAGACAATGTCGCCTACCTTTCCCCTCCGGTTGCTTTTTTTTTTTGCTTTGCACCCGTCGCATGGAATAAGCCCCCACCAACTTTTTCCCTTCACTTTCGCCAACATGGGACGATTTTTCACCATCTCCCTGGCTGCCTTTGCGGCAACAGGGTCTTTCTTGTTTGGTTATGACAGTGGTGTCATGACTGATGTAATTGAATCGAAGAACTTTTTGAACTTCTTCAATACTACTCAGACATCAGCTATCATCGGAGCGATCAATAGTACATTCTCGGGGGGAGGTATGTTCTCTGGCTTCTTTCTATCACTACTCAGTTTGTGGCCCTGTGTTGCCATTCAGTTCTCTCATCCTGCGCTTGGCTAACATAAGGCGATATAGCCGCTGTTGGCGCCCTCCAGGGTGGCCTTACGATGGACCGTTTTGGGCGCAAATTCACTATCCAGATGGGAGCCTTTATCTGTCTCATCGGCGCCATTTTACAGTCCGCAGCTCAGAACCTGTCTATGATCTTGGTCGGCCGTATCTTTGCTGGATGGGCGGTTGGCCTGATGTCCATGTCCGTTCCAGTATACCAAGCTGAGGTCGCCCATCCACGCTCCCGTGGTTTGATTGTCGGTCTGGCACAGCAAATGATTGGAGTGGGTTTCATCGTCAGCACGTAAGTACTTCCAGGTGCTCGGTTGTTCATTAGAAGGCGTAACTGACCTAGCTCTCAGATGGGTCGGCTACGGATCTCTCCACGCGCCTGACACGAGCGAGTTTCAATGGCGTTTCCCATTGGCATTCCAAGCGGTTCCGGCGCTCTTGTTGGCAATAGGAATGTTCTTCATGCCCGAGTCTCCTCGATATCTAATTGAGAAGGAGAAGTATGACGAGGCATTGAGAATCTTGAAAAAGCTTCACTATGATGGCACAAATGACGACTGGATTCAAAGGGAACACACTGAGATTAGAGCCACGATTGAGGCGGAGAAGGCCGTGACTGCTCCAGGATGGTTGATCATGTTCAAGGTTCCCCAGTGGCGGAATCGACTGATGTGCGTCGACTCGATTCTTCTCTCTCCCCCTTGACTTTGATACTAATGAGCTTTACTTAGGCACGGTACTCTTGTCCAAGTCTTCACTCAGATGACGGGGGTCAACGTGATAGGCTACTATCAGACGATTATGTACAATACGCTTGGTATTACCGGCAATCGTAATACGCTGGTTGCTGGTATTTATAATTGCGTTGGCCCAATCACCAACTTGATCTTTATTGTCTTTCTTCTTGATCGAGTCGGAAGACGGAAGCCTATGCTTTTCGGCACGGTCACTATCACCATTGCCCTGATCTGCGAAGCAGCTCTCAACTCACAGATCAAAACTGGCGAAGTCAATCGAGGATATAGCATTGGCGGTGTCTTCTTCATCTTTTGCGTCACCGTTCTCTTCTCTCTATCATTCGGCCCCACCAGCTGGTAAGCCCCCTCACTTTACAGTACTTCTGTCACTCGCGACCTGTTTCAGCACACTAACGCAGGTGCATTGATAGGACATACATGGCGGAGGTCATGCCGATGCAGATCCGTGGGCGAGGAACGGCTTTTGCGACAGCTGTTGGGAACTGGACCGTCAGTACGCTGTGGGCGCAAGTCTCCCCCATCGCTCTGGCAAGTATCGGTTGGAAGTTCTACTTCATCTTTGTGGCCTTCAGTAAGTCTTTCCTATAGTGAAGCCCCCTCTGCTGCTGCTATAAACGTGGCTCTTCCTTTCCCGTTACCCTGGCTAATCAACCCGTGCAACAGACATTTGCGTCACGTTCCCCACCGTGTTCTTCGTCTTCAAGGAGACCAAACAGAAGTCTCTTGAGGAGATCGATCTCCTGTTCGGAGGCCGTGCTCTCGGCCACCTGCCTGCAGATGTGGAATCGAAGATGACCGCAGAAGCCGACAAGGCCGAGGAGACGGGTATCACTGTCACGAATGTGGAGCACAAGGACTGAGGCATTTGTGGTACTCATGAAGATTTGAATGCAGGTGAGGTGGATTTATCTTTGGAGGGCATAGCTCTGATCAGCTACTCTACATAATGAAATGACGGACATTTGTTCTTTTCCACCATATGAGCATAGTGATGGTTTATCTTAGATTGTTTGGAATATCTCAACCTCTGCTACATTTTACTAGTATCATCGCAGCTATTCTAGTATGTATCCATGCGGGGTATAGAGATTGTGATAAGGCGGTCACAATTCTGTGTCTGGGCTTCTTCTTCGACGTACTGTAAGCCTTGACCTGAACAATAATCATATAGGCGACTCATCTGATTATTCCGGTAATCGTTATAAGGCGACGCAGCGATATTTGTATGGTTGTTGTTCGAGAGATTGTTGTTTGTGTACGGTAAATCGCCTTACCGAGAGTCACAATTACGGCATCTCACGGTACCATATGTACTGTATATGGTGTACATACATACATCACACAGCCCGCTCAATCAAAGCCGCTTAATTCGCAGCTGAAGCAAACAACATCAGTTGGCAGCCCAGTGAACCAGTCGGAAGCTGTGAGAAGAACAAAAAGTGGGGGTGGTTGGGGGATTTGGCAGCACTTGTGATCTGTCAAACAAAAGCGTTTGATACCGCGGAAATCCGTTATCCTTGGAGTGGGGAAACAGATCACTTGTAAGTGGTCACCACGCATGCTCCCCAGCCATGAGTGGAGGCGATGTTAATTTCCCCGCAAAATGGGTGATCACTGACCGACACGGGCGACAAGGGAGGGATGCATGGGGGCACAGGATTGGTGCTGCTCGGACCCGAGATCAGTAACCAGTAAGTTAGGCACGTACTCCTCGCCGCGATGACCAGGACTACCGTGCTTAATTGTGGCGGTTTGCCAAGTCGGCCTTCTTATTGATTGCGCAGTATGTCAGTAGTCGCTTACCGGGTGATTTCTTGTACTGTCGCGTTATCTTTCACCATCCTCCATCCTCCAGACCTGGATGAGAAGAAGAAATAATTGAGGTAGATTGCGTCATGATCGCTTGAAAGGGAGTTGCGCGAGACTACCTTATCTGACTGGACCGGATCGTCGTGGCATGACCTGACACGAACATCCATGGCTCCATGGCATGACCAGTGGGAACCCTTGGGCCGTGGCTGGCTCCCAGTCACGGGTTTCACTCTCCAGGCAAAGGCTGCAGTGATCGGCTCCGATCATGATCATGCTCGGTGTGTCCAGTGCTATATGTATGTATGTATGCACCTAGTTTTAAGTAAAGTAAGGTCACCAGCATGCTTTAGACTGTCTTGGTGGTTGCCTCAGCTTCTACTTGGGTTGAGCTGCATGGGGAAGAATTCTTAGGGAATGTATACAAGGCAATCAGAGGCGAGGGAGGTCCACATCTGGTTACATCTGGCCACGTCTGGTCATTCCGCAGAATTAGATGAAGTGAGCAAAGGCAAGGCGTGTATGAAGTATGAATGTATGAGGGGTGGGAAATAAAATACTCATAGAAAAAGAGAAAATGTTCGGGGATAGCTTCAAGATGGGATTGCGGCTGGAGTACAACTGTGGCAGTGGTGGCAATGTCTCTCGCTCGCAACTATCTATCCTCTCCTTTGTTTCCTTTCTTACCCCCCCCCCATTCTCGTGTTTCGCGACCTGGGCTGGCCACTTCTCTTTCAGTTCCGACCGTGATGAATGGACTGCTCCGTTCCACCGGCATCTGCTGATTGAGACTTTAAATGATGGTCTGATAAAGCCTGGTTGGCGCGCGCAAGCCCCGCCAAGTGACGACGATCAAACTGGGTGAACACAATTGCGATCGAGAGAGAGAGAGAGAGAGAGAGAATAAAGTATATATTATGCAAAGAGCAAGCTTCACTTGAAGAAATTCTCTTAATCTCGTCATTTCCCTTTCTCTCTCTTTCCTCCGGAGAAAAAAAAAACATACTCTACTCCCTTCCCCTCCACCACCCCCGGCGGCCGCCCACATAGTCCCTGCGGTGAGGACGATGGGGTTGTGGTCGGACAATTCATCAGAATTCCCGCTGTATAGCCATCTCGCCATTGTTCTCGGCATAGGTCTGGGACTTGTGACCTTCGTCATCATGTGTTTGTTGTACGTTGTTGGTTTTGTCCGTCCTTTTTTTACTTCCTCCCCCGTGCCCCTCCCTCTCCTCCCTCTCTCCCTTCCCTTCCTTCCTCCCTTCCTTCCTCCCTCCCGTGCTCCCTCCCTCCTCCCCACCTGTCAATGCCCACCCTCCTCTGCCCTCCATTACTGACAGACAACAATGAGGCTCAGCTTGAGCCTTTTCGTCAATCGCCGCGAGCGTCGTCCCGCCACCAAGGCCAAAAGCAGGAAAGGCGACTCGCACGACAAGTTGCGTAAGCTGGACGCTGTCTCACCAGCTCGTACCCTGGAGGATTGGTGGTCGCGAGCCAAGCTACCTTCCGAGGGCGCCGACGGACAGTTCATGTGGTATGGTCAGCCCAGCAACCGCCATCATCACCGTTACTCACTCGGTCAATCTGCAGCGTCGTTTGCCTCGAGTCCGTCCAGCGCTCCCAAGAGATACGAGAATTGAAGTGTTTACACGTCTTCCATCGGGAATGCCTGGAGAAGTGGTACCTACAGGACCATTTCAACTGCCCACTCTGCCTCCGAGCCTATTACGTGCAAGAGACGTATTCTAGCAACGATTTCGTTTGGATGGTATGATTTAGCAGAATTTCGCGCCATAACGACACTTTACATCACTTTATCGCAGCGGCACTCCCGAAAGCGCCCGTCGAATGATGTGCCCTGATCTTCTGCCACCGGCCTACCCTCGTCGCGGAGGTATACCCTCTTCGTATTCTCCTCATGATGAATGATTTGCGTCACAGCTTGTCGCACGGTGCATCCTGGCTGAAATCACGATTTTCTATTTATGCTCATGAGTCATGATTGATATGATACCCTTGTTCTCTGCAATTGAACCGGTTACAATCGAAACCAATCCTGTGTTACATTCTGTATTCTTGAACCAATCCTCAGATAAAGTACATTGATGCACCATGCATTGGCTTGTTCACGTCCCATACTTCTCGTGCCACTGCTGACTCGATAAGCCTTCGTCCTACCACTTTTGTTCCCTATCTTCATCTCCGGCGCCCGTGTTTAGTCCTCCACAGAAAGCAAGCCGAACATTCCAAAGTTCCTCCAGCGATGGTATCGCAGCTCGAAGCATTAATCGGAGCGAGCCTACTTTGGTGTCGACTGATCAGCACTCACCAGAGCCTCGTTTTACTTCTTGGTGTTGACCAGCAGTGCCCTACACGAGAGGAGTAATTGAGGGCAAAAGCTTTGAATTGGGCCCAATCATCATGACTGCGACAGTTTCGCGTGACAAGGGTCAGACCTATGAGATTACGTTTGACGATGAGGTTGAAAGGCAGAATCAAGCGCGCTCGATCATTGCAGTCTCCCATATATGGATGAAAGTTCTACGCAGTCCAGCCAAAAAGGCATGTCACGCCTACCGTGCAGTGGCCACCATACTCAAGATGAAAGCACAGAGAGCAGAATGCATTAGTACATGCATCTGTTCCGTGCACAAACGCATTCATCCTTGCTGACAACATGATTCAATGTGGTCTTTTTCGCTCATTTGGTCCAGGAACACGCGGCTCTCTAACTGGCGGGTGTACTACCGGAACATGATTCCGTTGAATTGGGGACACCTCGACATTATAACATCATTCATCAGCAGTCAAACACAAGAAAAGCAACAACATGTCAAACTTACATTTTGAGTGGCGAAGTAGCGCTTACTGGTCGCATCCCAAAGTCCTTGTCCGGGAGATGACACCCAATGACCTAAGCGACCACACCATTCGTCGCCCGTCACGTCGTTTGCTCGCAAGCTCCCCTTCACAGTCTCATCAGTACCCAGAGCCTGCATGCGCTTGAGTCATATGCATTCTTCACTCCGCCTACGGTGGACGAAACTTAAGTCGACGCAGAATCTTCGCTGCATTGGATAGTAGAGATCGATACTCAAACCCCACCCACAAACAGCGGTCTAGAACCGAGCATATGACAAGCGAACTATACCTTCCAACCCTCCCATCAGATATTCCCGGACACAGACATGGATACCTTGAGAGCGGTTTTGACCTATTCTCAAGAATGGTTTCTCGCACGCCGATGCTGTGTATGTTTAAGGCGTTTTCATTCAACGAAGCCCACCATCAGGCTAGAATGCGATTATCTATATTGCGTCAAGTGCCTCAAGGGCTCCTTCTTCAGGGCTACCCAGGAACCATTCCTTTTCCCGCCCAGGTGCTGCAAGACCGTGATACCCCTGCGTCTAGCAAAAGAGTATATGACCGAAGAAGAACTCTACGAATACGACAAAGCAAAACTCGAATTTTTGACAACCAACTGGACTCGCTGCAGTAAGAAGACGTGCCGCGTACCGATTCCGCCCAACCGGGTCACAGCATATCAGGCCAGATGCCTCTGTTGCGGCACCTCCACCTGTGTTTGGTGTAAAGCGGCCTCCCCCCTTAGGAATGAGTGTGATAAGAAGCCTGCTCTAAGCCAACCCCTATCTTCAAAAAACAACTTAGGCTGGCAGCAGTGCTATGACTGCAAGGCTCTAGTAGAGAGAACAAGTGGTTGTAGCCCGACAATGTACGTTTGAGCTTTCCTGCTTTTGCTATCTGATCTTCGCGAACTGACACAATACAGGTGCTCTAGAACCAGATTCTGTAATGACTGTGGCAGAAGACGTTCGATCCGCCGTTGCGGAATGGAGCAGGCGAAGGACCCATACCAGGCTCGGCAATTGTCGAAGGAGGAATATACACAGAGATGGTGAGAACTGCGATACCGCTTCGAAGATGCCCAGGGTTGAGATTGGGGTCCAGACGGAGGTCCGCTTCGCAGCTGCTGCAGTTGTCTTCCTTGCTTCCGTCTCAGCTGCGAACATGCTGGTCGTGTAGAGATTCTAGAGATCAACGCATTCCTCAATTCTAGAATTGTATTCGCACCATGACGTACAGTACCTGGCATATTACATCCAGCTTCCCCAGTTTGAGGAAGGATCGCTTGCTACCATAAAACCAATTCGTCAGTCATTTGCGTGGACTTACTACCTTGATTACACTGAGACAACCGTATCATCAAAAAAACCCCATCTCAATCCTTGAAAACATCTCCCTTCTCGATCGTTTCGAAAGCCTTGTTCGTATGCTCCCAGATCTTGGCCCTCATCTCCGCCAGATCGAACTTCTCGTAGGCCTTGAGTTGGATATTCGACTCACCTTTCCAGCCAAGCGAGTAGACCCCACTCCCCAGCTGACCATCCGTTCCCATCATCACATCTCCATGATTCTGGTGATGACCCCCCTCCCGATGCCGATGCACTGCCTGCCCCTCCCTCCTCCTCCTCCTCCTCCTCCTCCTCCTCCTCGCGGCGGATAACGCGGCGACGCCAGGCTCAGCATCCGGACTCCGCACTCCTTCGCCGGCACAGAGACCCACCGCCCCAGAAGCGGCACAAACACCCAGCGCCAGAACCCCCGGAACCAGGCCGGCAGCTCCGGGTTCGCGAACGCGGGCCCCAGCACCAACCCCGGGAAGATATGGACGAGCCGCAACCGGCCGCGATGCCGCTCGGCCAGCTGCTCCATGAACCACGTGTGCATGTAGATCATGTGGGAGCGCGCCTGCGTGTAGCTGTAGAGCTTGAGATTGCGGAGCGACAGATCGTCGGTGTAGAGTTTCCCTTCGAAGCCCGCGGCGTAGACGGAGACGATTGTCGCGGGCAGCGGGGATTGGAGGAGTAAGGGCAGGAGGTTGGTGATGGCTCGCATGCGCGAGTAGTAGAGGAGGGACATTGTCGTGTCCAGGCCTTCGGCGGTATCTGGATGCGTTTGCGTTTTGTGTAAGTAAGCAAGGAGCATAGGATTTCCTTTCTATCGATCTTGACTTTTTTGTCTTTCCGTTTCTTGTCGAGGATGAACAAGTGAAATCCAGCAGGTTTACCTTTTCTGGGTTGAAACGGCGCTCCACCGTGGGATAGCATCAGGTAGTCGATTCGTGGATTCGGGGCGGCGCTTTGTTGCCCTTGCTCTCGCGCCAGGGACAGGATCTCGGCGCAGACGCGATCGACGTCCCGGAGCAGCGAGAGGTCGTGGGCCTGGACGAAGATGTACTCGCCCTCCGGGTACAGGGTGCGACATTCGGCGATGATGGTCTCGGCGGCTGGGGCCTTGCGGCCCACGAGATAGGCGCGCAGGCCTTTGCCTCGGTGCTGGGATTCAGCGGTGGCCAGGGCGCGCAGGGTGTAGTGGCCGATCCCCGATGTGCCGCCGAAGAAGACGGCTACCAAGGGTTGGCTCCTGACCAGGGTGGTGTTAGAGGCGTGGATCACGTCGAGGTTAACCATATTGCGAAAGGCGAGTCTGGGAGTATGGGGGGATTGAGGAGGGGGTGCGAATGTGAGGTTGGGGATGGCATGTGGTACAAGTTGATCTAGTCCATTGGTTTGGTCTGATGCGCCTCTTAAGTACTTGCCCGACCTATTCTTTCGGGGATCTGGTTGATATGGAGATTTCTATACCTGGGGAGTTGCTTTTTCATTGTATGATGTACAAGACAGGACAGTAACAGGACAAGGTGCCAGTCTGAGGATAGCGGACGGACTTAAGTCCTAATCCCGCCTGCGCGTCCCCCCCAGAGTTAATGTTTCATTCTTTCATCCTTTCCACCTCCTCAAACCCCTGATCACGACCAGTGAGGTCTCTGCACTTGGACTGTCAGTTGTGGTCTGCTTGTCCTTTCTCCACAATTACGCACTCCTAATCTGATACCTGAAGATCATTACATGACGACACTGATTCAGAGAAGATCTAAGATCAAAACAATCCGTGTAGGACAGACTCGCATTTCGTCTGCTCAGTTCGAAGTACCAATACTTCCCTCAACCGGTACTCCCTCTGCTCCATTGCCTCAACGACGACGATTCCACGAGAAGAGCCGTCACGGTTGCTCACAATGCAAGAGGAATCGGACAAAGGTGTGCTCGGTTCCTTGCAGCTAGTCCGGATGCTTATCAATCCAGTGCAATGAGAAGAGGCCGACCTGTATATGCAGTTGCTGTCGGCCTTGGACCGAGACCGGTTACGGCTGATGAACCACTACACTCTGCACACGGCGAAAGCGATGCTCGAGGTATCCCATCCGGGGCCCACGGATCCCTCGATCTAGGCCAATTAAGTTCCCGAGCTCGCCTTCCAGTATGACTTCCCCCAGTACGGACTGTTGAGCATCAGCGCCTTAGATCTGGCTTTACATGGCGTCTCGCGCCGCAGGGAGCACATTATTCTGGCGATCAATCACTACCATCTAGGAGTGGCCACCGTCCGGCCATATCTAACCAACAACCATCCAGGCCAGGACCCAGACGCCGTTGGTGCGCTTTTCGCCTTCCAATGCTTCGTGATCGCGTATGCCTTCGAGATTCAGGTCTGCAGCGAACAGCCCGCCAGAAGCCTCATCAAAACCATACACGACATTCTCGTTCTCCTGTACCGGACCGCGCACAGTGTTGTATTCCAGCACGAGGATTCATCGGCTCTCACCCCGTGGGTCTCCTTATATCCTCCGCCACCTTTGGATCCAGACCGCAAGCCCCCGCCGAGATCGAGGCTGCGCTCGACGCCATTCAGCGACGTCTTTCGGCAGCGAGTCTCCCGACGACCCACGCGACGATGTATACCTCAGCCCTTCAAGCCCTGAGAAAAGCCCTTCTCATCGCGATCGAGTATCATAACACGCATATGACGTATGGATACTTCCCAACGTGTGTGACCTCGGAGTTCTGGACCGAGGTCCATGTAGGCGCGCCGGTGGCGCTCTGCGTCCTCGCGAATTATATGGTCATCTTGCATTGGCGGAGCACCTGTAACTGGTTTGGCACTCTTCCCAGAGATATCGTCCATGCTACTCGTCAGATTTTTTCAGCGGAGTGGCATCCATGCCTCGCCTGGGCTATTTCGGAGACAGAGCGTGTGGGCGGCAAACAGGGACCGGCTGGTCTATTATCAGCATAATGTGGCGTCGAGACCGGGCCTGTGAGGAGCAAGAGGCTTGCTAGAGACAGATTGGACTGTACTGCACTGTATTGTGTGGACTTCCCAGCATTGTAACACAAGGGCAAACCAAATCCCCTCAAGTAGACAATCCGAGGAAGGAGTTTCGAATCAGCCCGGCTCAATCCTTCTCAGTACTATGCATCTCTGGCCCTACCTTCTCAGCGTGATCCCAGATGCGTCAGCTACGTGCTACATTTTAGTTCCCAAGCAGACCCTTGCCTCAGAACATACCAATTTCACCATTCAAACAGGGCACTCTATATTCGCTCCTGCGCAACATGTCCGAGTACCCGAACCTTCCAAAGTCCAATTCCAGCTACCGCATAAACCCAACCGTGGATCCGTCGTCCATCGCAGAGACGGTTCATGATACTCCATGCACAATCTGCACATCCTGTTTCAATCATAACCTCAACTCTTACTAACCGGAGCAATAAATTGGTTACAGTCTTCCCAATCGGCCGCAAACCCAGGATGGCTTTCTTTCTTAATCGACCACCATCTCAATCATCTCGCTCCATTACCGTCATCATCAATCACTTTCTCTACATCGAGCCAAGCATGACCCTGCCTGACATTTAATACCACTTCTTATGCAACCTAGTAGTACGGAAGTACGAACGAGGTATTCTCGTTGCGATGCCGTGCTGACGAGACTCTCAACGGAACGCATCACGGCATTATCGATGCAGAACTTCGGGATTTTGCAGTAAATAAACTAGAATAAGTTCGAATAGTCCTGATACCTTAGATAAATGACCGAAGAAAAATGACATGTAGCTTGTCATTGTCGAGACTGCACAGTACAGTGGCAGGGACGCCTGATCAGATAGCGTGCGTGATTTCCGGGACTATGTGCTCAGGTACCACCCGGTTCTCTTCGTCTTGGCTGTGATACTACGGAGCTTTACACAGGCATGGTACTTTTGTCTAGGACTTCACATAGATAACTAGAGGTACTGTGATCGGAGACTACTAATACTTACATATAGAAATCGGAATTACAGGTAATTGTAATATCCTCGTAGCCGGTATTCATAACTATATTAGTCCACTTACCAAACTTGATCTTTATCTTACTTCTTGATCGGGTCAGAGAATGAAAAGCCTATGCGCTTCGGCACGGTCACCTTTGGGGTAGGAAGGCAAGGCATCGGTATGGTGCGGGGAAATCCACTTCGAGGTTAGAGATGTCAGGCTGAGAAGGGGATTGATCAAGGGAGTGATGTACATCAATAGGATGTCTCTATAAGACAATCCAAGGGCCTTAACACCAGTACAGAGATAAGCTGTCAGAAGGTGATTGGTCCTTCGGAGATTCTTGAAAGTACAGGCAATATGAACGCTTATGTCATTTACGTGATCGGTCATCAACCAATTTGTCATTCCGACGTAGATCGTAGACGTACAGTGTCAATTGTCATGATCATAACGTGCTAATCACTAGACTTGTTGTATTGAGTCAAAATTCTAGATCATCCCATAGTCCACAACGCACCGAACGCCTTGGAAGCTCCTGCCCAGACCCGTGAGAACCGCACCAGGCACCAACACCAGTAACACCTCGAAGACACTACTCCCTCAAGAGGAATAGACAATGCAGATATGCAAGCTGATGACAAAACAAGAAACTTTGGAGCTATGCACAAATTATGCCCCGCGGAGAAGAAGAGAATAAACAATACGAAGTGGATATCTGAAAGCAGAGGAAGGAAAACAAAGATGAAGAAAGGGGCAGCGATAAATCGCGCTCTCACTTCACTCGAGTAGGACTTCCAGCGCTGCCAACACGTCCACTAGCCTTGCGAACGCCCTTTTCTGCGCGGCTATCCGTCACACGTCTTGGGCTCGTGCGAACCTTGGTGACAGAGATCGCCCCGCTGCCGCTCTTGCTGCTTACTGGCGTCTTGGGTGCATATGTAGCTGCATCACCCCAGTTCTCCCGATCATCATCGTTGAGGGTATAACTGGCGGTCACAGTAGCTGAGTAGCTGACAGACCGCTGGTTGGGAGATGCCACGGGGGATCTTGAGGAACGCTTGGCCAGCATACGCAACTGAATTTCTTCTTCACTCTCGCTGCTGTCGGTACTGAGGCGATTGGATGTCTTGTTCGTCTCCTTTTCGAGGATCAGACTACCAGAAGTGGTGCGAGAGTAGGGGTGGTGGCGAGAGTCTTTGCGGTGGGACTTGCGAGGCTGACCGGGTGTGGGTGCTGGCAGGTTCTCTTCGGCTTGAGTGCCAGCCCCCTCATTGTGGTCAATCTCCCCGAGAGCGGCACGCTTAGAATGGCCATTGTTAGGTGGAGTCGCGACAGGCCCGTTAGCCCGCTGGCGGGTAGTCGGCCGGCCAGGCGTGATAGGCGCCGACTGCAGTTGAGCGAGCTTCTCCTTCATGCTGTCCTCGAACCACCACTCGCGGAACGAGCCTTGGTTGAGGTGCAGCCAGTGTTGCTGGGGTCCAACAACCATTCCAGGGCGCATGAATCTCATGAAAGCAATAATCTCATTGGCAGTAAAGCCATATCTGTAGATGAGATAGGCCCCAATGAGACATCCAGTGCGGCCAAGGCCTGCCTTACAGTGGACCGCAATGCCCTTCTTCTTTTGCGTGATCATTTCATGTGCCATCTTGATGAATCGGCGTACCAAGGGCAAAGGCGGGCAAGTACCGTCCTCAAAGATCATGTCGACATGATTGATTCCCAATGCCGTGAAGTATGATGGCGAGTACAATTCGGAATTCAGTCGCACAACAAGGCCCACGCTACGGGAGGAGAAGTGGGTCAAAACATTCTTAAAGGGCGTGGGAAGTTTCGAAGCCTGGACTTCCGCAATGGTAGAAGGCAGTGCAGCATATTCAGGAGTGTCACGAGGAATGACATCAATGGGTTGGTGTTGCGGGGAAGCGAAGGCCACGAACTGTGGAGTGATCCAGTTGAAGTCACCCATGTCAACACGCTCGTACTTCTCATACCTATGTAGTCACCCAGTCAGCGTTTGAACTAAAAACATTCGTAAGGCTGCTCTTACTCTTCTAGGCTGAAATCTCTCAAGCCACAGAGCGACTGCTCCTTGGCCTTCCACACTCCGTATACAACGTCCTGGATGTTGAGGATGTAATCCGCCTGACTGTATCCAGCGTCGCGGAATGGCATGTATGGAGGATCTGCCTGTGCGATGGGAGCCAGGGCCAAATGTGGAGGCCAAGATTGGATGAGAACCATATAGCAAGCGACTAGGCAAGCTGCATTGGCACGGCTGCGCGAGTCCGTCTTGGAGTAGAAAACCACG